GCTGTTGAAGGTGCTCGAGCAAGGGAAGAAGGAGTTGATGGAGTACAAGGGGACGTGGCATGTGGAGCATGTGGTCAAGGATGTGTTGAGGGCGTGGCATGAGGAGCAAGTGGCGAAGGGGTGGGTGGAGGAAGGGTGGGAGGCTGAGACGTTGGGGGAGAGTCCGTGGTTTGAAGGGTGGGAGGGGAAGTGGAGGGGGATGCAGGGGTTCTAAAAGGGTTGGTTTGTTGATGGGAGTGGGGACTTGAAGGATGTGGGTTTTTTTTAAAGAGATTTCAAAAAGGGATTGATGATGATGATGATGAGGAGGAGGAGGAGGAGGAGGAGGAGAAGGAGGAAGGATTACACTACATGGTGATACTGAATCTCTATAGCCGAAAGAAAAGAAGAAGAAGAGCTTCACTTCCCCAGTCTCTTTGCTAGATCCCCTCGATAGATCCATGCAGCAGCTCCTGCAGCCACTGCTCCCAGTGTCCCGAGGACTAACGTCGTGTTACTCACGTACGACTCTTCGTGCACACGTCCAATCTTAGTCGTCTGTTTTCCCGTCCCAAAGACGACCTTGCTGGCTCTCAGCCCGCCTTCCTTCTCAGCCTGCACACCATTACCATTTTGCACAGGCTTGACACTTGTGACGTCAAAATCCTCCCAGTCAACCTTACTCATCATCTCCTGATAATCAATCACCGTGCCAGACCAATTATTCGTGATTCTCCCCTCGCTATTCTTGTACCAACTACTACAATTCGGGTCCGCAAACGAGCTCGTGGCGAGCTTCTGCTGGATCTCATCATTGTAGGCTTTTGTGCGCTGGGGGTTGGGCACGAGGCCGATTCGCTTGCCACGGCTGCGGGCGTCAAGAACAGCGGCAACGAGGGCGTTGAGGTAGCGCGACTGGGCCTCAATCATGAGGATGATTGAGTTGTGGCCTAGGTTCGTGTTCGGCCCGTAAAACATGCCAAAGTTAGGTAGCGAGGGTACAGAGGTGCCGTATAGGGCGTAGGCGCCACCGTTCCAGATGGAGGAAAGGCTGCGGTTTTGCGTCCCAGTCACCTGTATGGGGTGTAGGAACTCGAGGGTACGGAAGCCTGTGGCGAGGACAATGGTGTCATGGTCGTGTTGTGTGCCGTCTTCGAGCTCAATACCCGATTCGGTGATTCTGCGTATCTTTGTGGTCTCAAGCTGTGTCTTGGGGTTCGGGAGAGCGGGAAAAAAGTCGTCAGATATGATGACGCGTTTGCAGCCTGGGTTATAGTCTGGAGTGAGTTTTTCCCAGAGATCAGGCCGGTTGGGAATCTGCTTCTCCATCATGTCCTTGCAGGCGGCGCGAACATCTTTGGCCATGGGGCTTTGGTTGTTGCTTACAGCGTCATAGAAGGACTCACGGAAATCCATCATCATGCTGCGAATGCGCCAGCTGACAGGGGGCACATAGCGTTGGAGGGCACGCCTGAAGTCGCTGATAGGACTGTCGAGACGCGGAATGACCCAATTGGGAGAGCGCTGGTATACTGTCAAGGACGAGGTCTGGGGCAGAATATCGGGTATGATTTGCGCAGCTGTTGCACCTGTTTGTTTTTGTTGAGCTAGGTTGTCGAACATACTGGGTACTGCAATACATACCGTTTCCAATGATTCCAACACGCTTCCCCTCAAGGCTGTGGCTCCAATCCCAGCGTGCAGAATGCATGACTTTGCCTTTGAAGTCTTGCAGGCCTGGTATATCGGGATATCGAGGCTGATTAAGCTGGCCGACTGCTGAGACCAGAAAGTCGCACTCGATGCTGTATCCAGAGGCAAACTCAGCATCCTTGCCACCGATCACGTTGACGTCAACTCTCCATCGGTTTTTGGAGTCGTCCCATGTCGCAGCCTCGACAGCAGTGTTGAAGCGAATGTATTTGTACAGGTTGTACTTGCGTGCTACATTCCGAAGGTAGTCGAGTATTTCCTCTTGGCCTGGATACTCTCTTGTCCACTCTGGGTTTTGCTCAAACGAATAGCTGTACAGCATGCTCCAGACATCACAGCAGCAGCCAGGATATTTGTTGTCGTGCCATGTGCCACCGACACTAGAGCTTTTTTCTACGATGATGAAGTTGTGACATTTGTTGCGTTTGATGAGGTCGATAGCCATGCACATGCCTTTGGATGCTTAGCCCCATACGATCAGATTGTCTGGCCGGGATACTGACCAGAGATGCCGGCTCCAATGATGACTACTGCAGCATCGGTATGGGTTTTGTTCTGGACCGGAACCTGATGCCATGGTTGCGAGCCACCCATTTTGAGAATACTCGAGAATGTGATGATTAGGAGATGGAAGAAGGATTGAGCGGTCTAAGGGGAAAGGGGGGGAGGGTACAAGAGACGAGGGAGCTCAGCCGAGTAAAAAGCAAGCCACCTTTATATGTACAACCAGTGCGACGCCTTCGCTGCCGTGCGGACAAGTGACATGAGCATTCTAAAGATTATCAGAAACCGGCAAGCGGTATAGCGCCGGCATGGTGCAGTGAATGGTGGGGAACACGATGGAGATCTTCGGCGAAGTGATTCACAGACAGCTTCCCCTCTTCCCAAATCCGACCAGTTCCCGTCCGAGGTTGTGCAGCATGGTGCTTTGTCATTATGCAGTTGCGCTTCCGTTTTTACTACACTTGGAAACACTAAGCCTCATGAGGAAGAGTGGGAATGGATTATGAATCGAATACCCTGGATTGCTGCAATTCGTGGGCAGAAGTGTTCACGGGTGATGAGGAGCAGTGGTGTGGGCTCTCAGCAAGACATGCGAAGCGGGTTGTGGGGAAGGCGCAAGGGCGGGGGAAGGGCGGTATCCGGCAATGGTGGGCCATTGGGGCCGGAGCACGCCAATCACCAAGTGAACTCACCAGACGCGCCTGGCAACAGGTGCAGACAATATTACAGGCCAGCCAAAGTTGCAGTGTGTCGTCAACGAGTCTAGTCGACAGAACATAGACATGTGCGTGTGTATGTACGTACGAAATGGACGAGCTGAACAGAGCGCCCCACTTTTTTTCCACCCACTGTCTGGGTGGCCTGGCAGTGCCTGGTTGTGTATGACCCCACGACTCTCATTGTCGTTGGCCCCTTGGACCAAAGGCCATGTTCCGCTTTTATTGCTCAACTCTTTCTTCACCACTGTTGTTGTTGTTGTTGTTGCTGCTGCTGCTGCTGCTGCTGCTGCTGTTGTTGTCGTGGTTTTGCATCGGCCTTGTTGCTTGGTTGCTCGTCATTGTCTTCTGGTGGAGGTTCGAATTCGCGTGTGTGTACCACGCCCCATCGTACCTTTTTTTCTCCTCGGCTGTCTTGGTCTTGGTGGCTACTTGTACAGCGTGTGGAGCCTGTAGCATCTGTAGGATATGCAGAATCGACGGAATTTGTCGAACAAGTCGAATCCGTACAACTTGCAGGTTGGGGCGGCATGATAGGAATTGGCGTGACTGCTCGTATTCGCATCCATGCCTCACTCATCTCCAGCCTTGAAATGGGGAGCCGGCCATGTCTGGGCTGAGTCTTGAGCTCGCCTCGTGGTGTTTTTGAGTATCCATGGTGGCGGTCTGCAACAGTGGTGAGCCTATCATGGGCGGTGGGGGGTTGTGTCGATGAGGCACGCTTGGCCTCTCTGCGGGGATGAGCATGATGGCGTCTGTCGTGCAGCATGTAGTCTAATGCATGATGCAGACACGGGCACTTCATCGCTGAGGGCGTGGGAGCCCGCGAGGAGGAAGCTGGCGTGCATCTCGAGGCATTGCAAGAAGGCGACGAGGAGCAGCGGGTGCCGCTGAAGCCTCTCTATGGCTTCGACTTTTAGGGCGCATGGGAGATGCATGGACGTTCTCTGAGAACAACTGGCCAAGCGCAAGACGGACTGACGTGTACGGATGGCACAGGCGGTGCACATGGAACACTGCTCCAAACTATCTCGTCATTTATAGCAAGCGCAATGACGCGCGTGTCTGGGGGCAGCGTCTGGCGTCAGCATCGCGTTTGCAACAAGCGATCCGGTTGCTGTGGCCGATGGTGGTTTCGACAGTGCATGCCCTGTCCAAGGGCTTACCATGGATGTTTGTGATGAATGCCAGGCGGGTTGCGTGCATTGGGTGTAGGGCGGTACACGTGGTACGGTCACGTGGATGCAGGGGGGGAGGGGGCCATGTTGGTTCAACGCGGCAGGGCTCGAGTCAAAACCATTCTTGGCCTCGCCATCTGCATCGGCTTTTTTGTTTGTTTCTTGTTTCCCGTTGAACGGCACGGACCAGGCGACACCACAAGGCCAGGAAGAAAAGCGGCCATAGGGCCAGCCCAAAGCTGCTTACTTGGACGAGGCGGGGGGCTGTAGCCGGAATTGCGCCTGTGTTGATGAGAGCTTCAGTGGGCCGTGGTCCATGGGGACCCGCAATGGACCGAGATACGAGAGAGCAGGCGGACTGCTTGGCCCCAAGCAGCAGGTACAAGGCGTTGAAGCGACCGTTTGGAGGTCCGTTCTGCGCGGTCGGTGCACAGCATTGACCCGCCCGGAGGGTGTTTAGGGCTGCGGGCATGCGAGGGAAATAAGCCAGCCAGTGGCAGAGCCAAGATGGGTTTCGCCAACACAAGACTGGCGGCATGCTTAGGAGCAGCTGGACGCTGGTCGCGGTAGGACGGCGGATGGGGCGTATGCCGTGGTACTTGCATACATGTCTCTATAAATATATACATACAGACTGACAGGCAGACAGACAGACTAGATGCTGCACCCCGCAAGCAGACGCGACAGGTGGGAGCGGCGCACAGAGAAAGAGAGCGAGAGAAAGAGAGCGAGAGAGAGAGGGAGGGAGGGGGCAGCCGGCGTCTAGAGCGCCTGTGGGGATTTGGGATGGTGGCTGGAGTTGGAGCTGGAGCTGGAGCTGGAGCTGGATCGGATCGAATAGTCATAACAATAGTAGTATTCAGTAGACTCCAGACGGGCGGTCGATGAGAGCCCATGTAAACCCACCCACTCACACATCCACGATCCAAGTATCCAGGCCAGGCCAGTCCAGCACACATGCACACAGGTATATGCGCTTAAATTCAATAGCGCCGCCCGCTCGCTGTAGGTACTTGGATGGATGCGGCGAGCCATTCCATGTCATGACAGCCGTTGCTCTTGCTCGCACCCAGTGAGCAGCGGGCAGCGACAAGGCCTTGGACGTCTCCCATCTGGCCGTGCACTCAGATGGATATGTCTGAAGCTGAAAGACTGCTTGCATGCCGAGTAGAGACGCGCCCTGCTCCCCCCACCCCTGCAGCCATGGCGGGTGTGGTAAGCTGAGGTCGACGACAGGCCGCTTGTTGCAGCAGTGATTGGCCGCGACCCCAGCGTCGCTCCGTGTTCTCGACTGTGTGGTCGCACTGCGGATGGCGGATTGGGTTGCACCCTGTCCTGCTGCTAGCTGCCATTCTGAAACTCGAGCACCTCCTGGCGGGAGCCACCATTGCCCGCCTGCCTGCCTGCTTGCCTGCCTATACTTGCCCATCCCATGTCCGTTCTCTTCTCCTCTTTTTTCTTCTTCCTCTCCGGCGCGCGCACTAGACGCATGCCCACTTCTCACCACCTCTCCCCACAAGCACAACTACGGTTTTGCTGCAGTAGTCGGCAGTAGCTCTGTCGGGCCATTGCTAGCCGACCATACATACTCTACCACTTTATCACTACGTACGCGCACGCCCTCCCGCACACCGTCATCACTGCAGCTGTGCGCACTGGTCGGCCGCACTCAGGCTTATTCCTACCACGCCTTTGCACCTAATAACATCCCTCTACGCTTTCCCACCTTGCCACTGTCCAGACGCTCTATTTAGTCGTAATCCACATGGCCCGCAAACTCTCCTTCACTCTGTCTCCTGTCGTGCGTGCTCCACCAAACACCAAGCCACCAAAAATCCTCGATTCACTTGCTCACACCTCCTTGTCTAGAAAACCGCCTCCAAGCAGGACCTTGCCGGCAAAATGACGCCAGAAACCAGCCCCTTACCGGCCTCGTCCCACAAACGACACTCTTCCAAAGACACCATATGTGACAGCTCGCCCTGGATCAACCGCCGCGTCCTCGACAGCCAGACCGACCAAGAGCTGCGCGCAGCATGTCGCCTCATCCTCAAAAACTTCAAGCCCTCGGACCATGGCATGGAGGACACCGACCCAAGGCTCGATTTCGCCGGCCTGGGCTTCAAGCCTCGCAAAGACAGCAAACCACAATCCACCCAAGTCAATGCGCGGGTGCCTGTTGCTGCCCCTCCAGAACCCGCCTCAACTTCGTTCCTGCCACGATCGCGCAGCACAAAGGTCCGTACCAGGGCAAAAGCAGACATGGAGATAAGAGCAAGGCAGAACATTGATCTGCCCGCACGAGCAAACAGCAGCCGCAAGCGTGCTGAGCGAGACGCTGAAAAGGACGAAAGACTACGCAACTTTGGCAAAGCTTCCATGGACGTACCCAGGCCCGCCATATCCTGCATCTCCAATGAAGACATTACTCTTCCCGTCACCGTTACATCCACTCTAGCAGCCTCCAAGAATTCTGCCTCTCACAACTTTGACGACCCTGTTGCTGCTGCAGATGCCCAGGCATCCGAGTGGATGCGTCTAGAAATGGACAAGAAGCGCCAACAAGATACGGCAGATCGCCAGCGCCGACCCTCGACGTCGGTCCGCCCGCCAAGTCGCGCCACGAGTATCAAGGAAAGCGTCATCGAATACGTTTTCCCCGGATCTCGAAGTCGTGCCCTCAGCCGCGCACAATCCAAGGAATCCCTCCGTTCGCCAGCCGATAGTAATGACACTGGCCTTTCTCGCAATGGCTCAAATGCGACTTGGCGAAGTTGGGGTCTGCGCCGTATGAAAAGTACGAGAAGTGAAAATAGGTCAGGGTCTTCCCATGGCCAGGGAGACGACGGTGCACAGCCTAGAAAATCAGAGTCGAATGCTGTCAACCTCAACAGAGAGCTCCCACCATTGCCCAGTCTGGACAGCTGGAAGGAACCTGAAAAGCCCAAGCAAGAAGTGGCATCTCCCAAATCGCCCACAGCCGAGACACATATTGCAAGTCTTATGCGTCCACAGGAACAGCATCCAGAACGCTCACCTGCTGCACGGAAACAACACAGGAGGAGTGGATCAGATACTTTGGCCATGCAATACACCGCTGCCTTCCCCGCTCGCAAATCCTCCCGCCGACAGGGCACGCAGCCAACTTCCCAAACACCAACAAGTGCCGCCGTCCCAGCCAGCGCAGTATCAGCCAGCCCTAAACTGACCGAAAAATTCGCAACAAACGCGTCCTCATCAACCACCAACGTTGACCAGCAGCACACCAGAACCGCTTCGAGCTCGCAAACTCGCCCCCGCAGCGGCGAAAGCAACACGACGGCCCAAGCCTCCAACTTTTCCCACCGCATGAGCATCGACTCTCCTGCCGTCCTCAAAACCATCTCCCACGAGCCCAAGGCCCCCGCCAAAGAAGAACAGAAATCAAAGCTCAAGAAGATCTTCAGTGGCTGGATCCATAAAAAAGATAAAAAGGACGATTGGATGCACAAGATGGAAAAGGAGGGCATCAAGGAAGGTGTCTTGGTTAAGGACAGTAATGATGCTCTCTCTGCTCCTGTCGTTCGGTATTAATCAGGGAGTTTTTTTTTCACTTTTTTTTTCTCCTTTTCAACTATTACACGCACCTGCCACTTACCACCACCACCACTACTACTATTATCATAACTTTTACTCCCTCTCACATTCCACCCTTTTTTCGGTTTGGGTTACTTTCGTTGTCTGTATCAAAGAAAATCTTAATTTGTTATACCCTTTTTTTTTTCTCTTTTCTGGATTCCTTCCTCTTTGTTTTCACTTTTGTTGGAAAGTCAGCGAATTGGGTGTAATTTGGGTTTGCTCCAATGAAGACAAAATGTTGCATTACACTACATATACATAACTCTATATATCATGACCAATAATGCATGTATGCTTTGCAATCGTGGGGATATCCCACTCCAATTCGTCTTTTTGGTCGGATTTTTATAGCAAACTGTGGTTGTCTACTCTTTCTTTCCCTTTCCCCCTCTTCTCTTTTCTTCTTCTCTATATTAATCTACATGCATCATTAGAGATGCCGGTATTCCAAAGAAAGCTTGTTTGTGAAGAAAGAAAGAAAAAAAAGTTTCAACTCATTTTGTTCCAAAAATTGTACGTCATACCAAACTATTCCCTCACCACATTGGTCAACAGTTTCACATTTTTCTTAGGCACTTTCTTCATGTCACATCATACAAGCTAGATATAAGGAACCGTCATCAAAATGTCTTCGTAGACAATACTACCATTAGCATGCCCTATGTCCCCATCTAATACACGCTATCTATGTATGCCGTTCCGCTAACCCTGTGCATAACTCATGAACCGTAACCGTAAACCATAACCCATAAACCATGCGTCGTCCATGACGTTCGATCATGTGCCTATACGCTATGCTGCAGCACTCTCAACAATGCATCCAGACTTCACGCTCCAAACAGGACCGTCTGCATCATCTGCCTTAGCCTACCAATCACCCTCCGCACTATGCCATTCACCCTGCGCACGATCCAGATGTTGACATGCACAATCAAAAGCCCCACGATCAAAGGCACCAGGAAGACTAAGAGCGCGTAGGCTGGTCCCATCACGGCAAAAGCTACCACATAGTCGATGAACCGGTCCTCGTACTCGACCACATCATCCGGATCGAAAATGGCTAGCGGCTGCTGATCGTCTACCATTGCGCAGATGCCTGGTGTGTCCCTCGAGCTGCACTCCATTAGCCAGTTAATTTCTCAAACTGTGACAACAGGGGCGGCCGTGGACAAGGGAATCACCACCTGTCCACTCCTGACCCTCCTGACAAGACAGTGTTGAAAAAGTTGCCATCGTCCCCGCCTCCATAACTGCCACCGGGGTATCCACCACCCCCTCCATATCCACCCATGGAACCCATGCGGTTTTTACCTTGGTTCTTTCCATGCTCGACAATAGAACTCTTACGACCAAATTCCTTGGCCGCTGATACAGAGTTTGTAATAGATGCCAGCAAGTTGACCAGCTGGACATCAGAAGCCTCTTGCTGAGATTCGAGGGTAAAAGCAGCAGCGTCTGGAGGGGCAAGAATATTGATTCGAGCAAGCATAGCCGAAATGCTGCGAAGAATCGAATGATTCAGAGGCAATGATTGTTGCTCGTCTAGTGTAGGATTGATTGGGAGGGACGCATCGGACAGATATGATGGTGGCAGCGAGTTGAGGTAGGCGCGGAGCAGAGCTATACGTCGGCCAAGCATGCGAATAGCGTTCATCTTTGCTATAAGAGTAGACAAAACTAAACGTCGGTCAGTACTTCTACATCGTGTCCACAGTCTTGGGGATGGACTTGCTCTCTTCGTCATCTGCACTCAAAATCTGCGACTCCTCAATTGGAGCATCTTCCGCTATCTTCTCCTTCTCTTTCTGCTTGCCTCGTGTGCTTCGTTTTCCAGCGTCCTCGTCATTCGTTGAAGCCTCGGCATTCGACACTGGAACATCGACTGAGCCCTCGACCGCCGTTGCATTTCCTCCACCACGGGCGACAAAGTCTACAGATATCATCTCAGCCTCACCAGTCTCAATAGAGTACACCAGTTCTCGGAACTTGGTTGACTTCGGTTGTACTGCGCCATCGACATCCATGACCTTATCGTTCGGTTCGCTCGACGTGCTGATAGAGACGGATTCGTAGACTGTAAGTGGTAATTTTCCGGCAGCAGTTTCCTCAGAGAAGGCATTTTCAGGGTGGAATAGAACAAGTAACGGGGATTCGGTATAGACTTCGGATATCCGTGAATGTATAGGAAGAAGGTGAGGCTCAGGGCCAGAGGCGGGACCAAGGGTAAACCATCCGACAATGTCGAGTTGGGGCTCTTTGTGTACATCCTTGACTGCCATCTCCGTAAGCGTCCGTTTGGGCATACATGTCATGAGCATGGGGGCACGGCTTACAATCCTCGATCCGCTTGCTGAACCAATCGTCATCGAGCGTTGTTTCGCCGTCCTCGTTTGACTGGAGTTTTGCTTGGAAAGCGACCTCCATGGTGATATTCTGTCCATCTTGTGCCCCCAGTATGGCACCGACTACCGGCCCTGTCTGCTTTCGTAGTGTGTGCCGTGTTACACAATCGGTGATCGTGAGGAGGACTAGTGGGTGAAGCTGGACTGTGGGACTGGCGTCAGAGGCGCGGGTGGTTGAAACAAGCGGGTTTCCCGATGATTCCGCCATTTTCGCTGTGTACACAGGGTCACTTGTCTGATGCACACACTGGGGGATCTGGAGGGGCAATTAGAAGTGAAAGGTGGAGGTGGAGGTGCAAGGCAATGGCGGCGGTATCGTCAATGGTGGGGAGCTTGCTAGGCTGCAGCTGCTCCAGTTCGTGGGGTTACGCCAAGCCGCTAGCCAGGAGCTCTAGTGGGCAACTGGACTACTACTTCTACGTGACGCGGTTCTGTCAACTACAACCAAACTCTTCATAGTTTCACATTTCCATCCACTGGTCCTTAATTGATTACAATTTATCATATTTTCCAGCTCAGTACAGACCGGAAGCTTTTTTTCGTCAAACTCTACCCTAGTTGATATCCCAGAATACTCTACTCCGGACGCGGACTAAAAAAGAAGCGATTGGTATCTCAGTCTTGAACAGAATCCCAAAATTATCCTGTGAACGCCCAGCTACAACATGTAGTACTCCCATTACACCTCCAAGCAGTCTTTAATACCCACAACGGTTCTTGAAGAAAGGATGTATACAATTACAGGTCGGCCCTATTTACATCTCAACAAGGACCTTGACGACCAAGTTGCCGTCCTTGTCCATGGTCTTTCCGGCGAGCTCGAAAGCCTCTTTGGTTGAAGCGAGACCATGGTATCTTATCGCATATATTAGCCGTTATTCTGCACCTATGCTATAGGGTCACTCACCTGTGCGTAATCATGTTGTCGAGGCTTGGGAGGACACCTGCGGACAGGATCTTGATACCTGTTGGGTAGGTGTTTGCGTATCGGAAAATCCCGATGATGTCAACTTCCTTCAGATGTGATGCTGACATAGGAAGAGTTTGAATTGGTGTGCCCATGCCGACCATGATCAGCTTGCCGCCGGGTCTGGTTGCCTGTGGGTTGGTTAGCATTGGTTCCACAGCAACTCCATGGATTCACTTACATAAAGTCCGGCTTGCATGCACACCTCCTTGCCGGTGCAGTCAAAAGTCACATCGGCACCTTCAAAGTCAATCTCGTTCAGCGACGCAATCTGCATAATGTCTGCAGCAAGCTCCTTTGCAGCAGCAAACTGCCCCGCGCCTTCGGTTGATTGTGCTTGTGCAGTCACAATGTAACCCTTATTCGCGAAGCCGTTCGCTAGAGCATAATTTATGCGTCCATAATCGATATCGGCAATGACAACCGTTGTGGCACCAGACACCTTGGCCATGGCAGCGGTCAGAAGTCCAACAGTACCTGCGCCGAAGACGATTGCAGTGTCACCCTGCTCAATTTGAGCTCTCCTAGTTGCATGGATCGCAACAGAAAGAGGCTCCAAAAGCGCAGCCGACTCCATGGACACGTGTGAAGGGAGTCTGATTAGAGTTGTCAGCTAAGGCTCGGACTTCGGGTCGATCATGCACAACATACTTGTGGCACCATTTTGCAGGATGGTTGATGCGTTCCTGAAGGGTCCCCTGAAAGTGAGGTACAGATTTGGCACTACTTCGGAACCTCATCTTAGGGCATAGGTTGTAGCGGCCCCTCTGGCATGACCTGCAGTTATCACACGGCACACCAACCTCGAGTGCAACGCGGTCGCCAATCTGGTAGCCAGTGACATTATTGCCGATGGCTACAACAACCCCAGCAGACTCATGGCCTAGCGATAAAGGCTCACAAGCCTGCAGATCGCCGTTGCGGAACTTGCTGTAGTATGAGCAATCACTGCCGCACAGCCCGGTGGCTTTGATAGCGATCTGGAGTTCATTGGCGGCGGGATCTGAGATTGTTCGAGTTTCCTATTTGAACCTGTCAGCCTGCCGTCTCGGATGTTCGTTGTATACGAATGACACCCCCACGGGCAGTGGGTAGGCGTGGGGTGGGATAACGAAAGCGGAAGGCATACCAACCGCAAATCCCTTGGCCCATGCAAGACCGACGCTACGACGGTCGAAGACTTTGTGTAGTGCCTTGCTGGGATTGGGCAGATATCTGCTAGAGCTGAGGGCGCCATTACGTGAAAAATATAAAAGTAGTGGGAGATGTGACAATGGTACGGGAGAAGGAGAAGGACAAATGGCTAGCAGGAGCCCACCCCACGGGAGCGTGGAGGCTGATATACTTGTTGAGAAGACGCGTTTCGATCAATAGTAAACGGGCGCGCGCTGGGCTTGCCTCAGACTCGTGCATCGGCGAGATAATGGCATCGCATGAGAGGAGACTTGAAGGTTCCACGTCATTTGCTAGGCGGCTCAATCTGGCGGGACAAGCAAGGTCAAGGGTGGACAACCAAAAACTACTTGGTACGGTAGCCTTTGCCTAGTCATTTCTCCATACCGTTACTCTGGTAGTATACGTGAGGCTAGATCGTCTTGTGGGCACGCCGCGGAGAGCATGTGCAATTCGACCGAAGGGCTAGCGGCAACTGGTCTTGGCCCGTCTGAAGTCGTTCTGCCGAATCAACGGCTACCAACGGCCGATCATGCATACACAGGATGCGATATATGAGCAGTAGTCATATTGTGATGTCTATTGTGGACGGGCCTTTTGGCGATGCCCGTCTATCAGAGACGGAGCTGGCGTTGTAAAACTGCGATAAGGCACTTTGCGCAGCTGTGGAGCTTGCCTTCAAAGGTTCCGTTGGGATCACTTTGAGTGGACCAGTCCGTTCTTGTGGCCCTGTCGCTGCATGGATCCCTGGATGATATGCAGGAAACATCAGCCTGATATGCGGGCTGTCCTTTGTCGAGGGTGCCAGCCGTCAAGCCATAATCTCCACAATAAGTCTTCCGAGAACCCCAGCACAACGTCAGTGCTGGACTCCCAGGGCCTATCTGCCGACGGCAGAATGCGAACGTTGACTGGCTAGAATACTTGGCTGGGTTTCCAGAAAATCTTTGGAAGTCCCCTGGAGCAATCAAACTTCCTGGGATATAGTAGTGTTCTAGTACTTAATAGTGCGAACGACTCACGCTCGACCGCGCGCCTCCTCGCCAAGAGTCTCGGTGAGGTAAGATGCTTATCCTATAGCGTGCTCCCTTGGGCGATGCTAGGGGCAACAGTGTGTGGTCAAAACCCGTTGGCTGGATGTCGGCTTGGAGGAGGTCGGACGTGCGCAACGGTGCACCTACCAAGGAGCAGCTACTAGTTCAACGAAAGGCATGAACTTGCGACCAGCCTGTCGGAACAAGAAGACGTACATAAGGCTTCTTATCGGGGCGACTCCAGAGCCAACTGCACAAACGACTGGCCAAAGGCATATCAACCAGCTACCAGCTGCAGCAGCGACCGAGGAGCGGCCACCAACGGCCAAGTGGATTTGACATGTGCCACTGGCTTCTGCATGAGCATGACGAGAAGGCACCGATAACGCAATGTAATGCCTTGCCGGATCTGCCAATCTGACCGAGAGATGAGGTTGAGCATGGTCCACTTGCAATCGAGAGGAATAACGGTGATCGTGGCCGCATGGTAGGAGCCACTAGACAGGGGTGGGCCACGAGCGAGATGAGAGGTTGTTGGGGCAAGCCTGTAGGTACCACGGAATGAGGATATATCTCTCCGACCGTTTGGCACAGACATCCCTACGTACGGGACGGCAAAAGCACACGTCTGAGAGCCGTTCCTTGCGCATGGTCGAACCTACACCGTAGTATGACAGAGAGTATCATGGTGGCTCCAGCCGTCCTGGCGGCTCGAGGTATACCAACCATAGATGTACCCAAGACACAATACGAGCTCGCCACGAGATGCTATTGTATAATATGCATGCTGATAAGACGCGATGACATACGAGTCGCACGTACTGACTACTACCTCGACTTGCTTCGTGACACTAATCAAAACCCTGCCGATAGCCCGTACGAACCCTGAGACCATGCATCACCAAGCAGCCAAATCCTCGACCTCGCTGCATGGGTCTTCGAAAACAGAAGGCGGTGAGCCTGGTCAAGCATTGCGCACCCATCCGCAACTCGAATTATAATACTACCCACTCACACGCGCTTTGTCACAACTCGCGTGAAGCATCTATATCTCAGGCACCGGCATTTGCGTCGCAGCGGTGAGCGGGTAGATCTTGGTCTTTTGCCGCCAGAAACCTGGGACGACGAGTCAATCTTGATCCTGGGGTTGTAGCCGCTGCTGGAGGCGGTCTGCCTACTTGACGTAACGGGACTGCATCTTCCTATCGCACCCAGGGTACGTATACCACCCAATCCCAAAGAAGCTACAGATATTGCGGACGTACGGCTCCGCACCAGTCCATTGGCAACACCCTCATCACGCCGAGTACAATTCACAAGCACCAGATAGCCACAAGGTACAACGCAGTGATACCACTGGCTATACTCTGCAACACGAATCCCAATCCTCTGGGTGGCGCACGGACGGGGACCTGCATCCCGAATATCTTGTACCAGGAAAGAAACGTGTTCAAGGGTATCTTTCCCACCCGCAAAACAAATGTAGTGGTTATTGGCTTGGAAGAATACAGGGCAACGCTAATGGATGAGCGTTCGAATCAAGACGGGACAAGAACAAAGGATTGGGGAGGATTCAGAACACCCGGTTGCACGTCAATGACGGGCCAAGTGCCTAGTACTACTCCTTTTGCCGTTCTGTGAGAGGTTAGAACCTCCGGAGATAGTACCGAGGAAGTCACCACCATCACAGCACGCTTCGCAATGCCTCATTTTTGAGGGTAAGAAAACCGAAGGGATGCCAGTGCGTTGCAAGCGAATATCGGAGATTGCACAAGACATGGCAAAGTCTTGTCTGATACAAGTGGAAAGAGCCATCGTCTTGATTGCCACGTTAGAGATCTTGCATTTGGCCGACAGGTAAGGAATGCCGACCATCGAAGACTACATGCAATTAGCTAGCAAAGACGAGATGGTGACGCAGGCCAATCTGCAACACGGCCTTGAGTGCGGCCTTAGCAGGGATCGATTCGACATTCAAACCCTCGTTTACTCGGCATGCAGTTTGCAGTAAGCAACTCGTCAGCAGCGAGCCGTCAGCAAAAAAAAACATCAAATCCACATTGCCGAAAACTCTAATTAAGCAACCCTCGTGTGCTACGACAAACTAGCGTACTACCGGCACCCCGATATCGCTTAACGGCAAGGGATGCAATGGAAAGTAAATGTCGGGCCAAACAACGGATAGAGCCGCAAAGCTACAATTGCAGTTGCAATCATCTTTGCTTTTCATGCATGTACTCGGTACTACTGTATGTACCCAAAGGACGATCTTGCCACATCAACCCTACAGTCACTGTGCCATCAGTCATGCGACACGGAAACGATATAGAAGCAATTCCGTTTAGGCGAAATTTCACAGGGCTCCACTCCTTGCATGCACACTGCACACTCGTCACGCGGACGAACCGTTAGGGGGTCCAGAAAAAAATATGCTCAGACCACACAGCCATAGTATCCACAATAGCTTCGTGGCTACAACTTGTTTCAAAGTAGGCGGGATTGCGGTTATTTTATCCCCGTGGGATTTTACATATTGTGCTATGCTAGTGCTAGCGCATCCTTTCTAGATCCGTCTCAATCTCCCCGTTTTTACAATTGACTGTTTGGCTGCTTGTCTACTAGACCTTGCGCCACAAACCACTGGCGGATAATTTGATTCACCTCGTCTGGCTTCTGTATCATGGCCCAGTGCCCAGTCGCCACCTCGCCTCTAGTGAGCTGTGGGATGAAGTTCTCCATGCCCTTTGACAACTCGGGCGTGAGGACCATGTCTTGCATTCCTTGGATGAAAAGAACAGGCTGCGTAATGGTCTTCTTGTCAAGCAACTCTTGCTCTTCTTCCCAGTTCAAGCGGCGTGTGCGGTACCAGTTGACTATTTTGGGCAATCGGGTTAGCTGGAGGATTTCGCTATGCGAATGTTGGTTAGGAGTATAACGTACGGGTAGGATGGATGCCGTGGTTAGAGTATTGCTTGACGTAGTAGTCTAGGACCTGATTCGCTGTCAGTACACCGTCGCTTAAGGAAAAACGGTATCCACGCCTTTCTCTCTGAAACAAGACAATGACGACAGTTGGTGACCATGACCTGTAGCGTGGGTCATGATCGTGTCGAGCAAACAAAAAGGGAGCCGATCTTCTGGGTGTCGTGCCGGCAATCCTGCACCGAACACCCGAACGGGTAACAATGGCTGCCGAGCACGTCTCGCTCGTGACCCATTATCACTGCCTCGAAAGAGCAACAATCTTTGCCTTTCGCCCGGTTTCCCCGGCTTTTAACCTAGGAAGAAGAAAGAAAAGGGGTGGCCTCTCGACACGCGTCCCAGCATAAAGAGATCAACAACGTACCTTTCCCTTCAGGAGCACGCCCTCCCCGACCTTTGCCAAGTTCTCGGATAACACACCCTTGGTGGGATTGAAGACGACTTCACCGTTTGGTCCCTTGGCGCCATACATGCCCTTTAGGAACTGTCTGATAGTCTCCTCATCCTTGATCACCTTCTCCACCTCGCCAGAAGCAAGATGCATTTGATATGCGAACTGGGGTACAGGCCCCTTGACAATGTCTTCAATGGAAAAGTATCTTTCAGACGGCGCAGTATACGGCGTGCAGATTGAGAAGACGTGAGTGATCAGCTCAGGGTACCTAGATATATCTGGTTAAAACGTTGTCTTGATCGCGATTGGAGAGTGGTTATGGGAATTTACCATTGAGCAGCACGCCAAACGACGGCACCTCCCCTATCCCCGGTATCAGCAAATTGGTTCCTCGTCTCGAGCAGAATCGTCGATGCGATTCTGTACAACTCACCAATCATGACCTCCCAGCACAATCTGCGGCGCCTCGACTTCCTTGGCCAGGGCAGCAATATCGTCTGACGCCCTCTTCATCCCGTATAGGTTGAGCGGGTTGGGAGGGGCTTGAGGGGCGGCCTATGCGTAGCAAGATCAGCATTTCGCCTTTTACGACAAGTATCTCCTACTAGGGAAGAAAGAGAAAGAGAAGCATTGAAAACTCACCGTTCCGCCGTATCCCATCATGTTCGGTGCCACGACGCGGAATCCCAAATCCAGCAGAAGCGGGATCTGGTATCGCCATCCCATGGCAAGATCGGGCCATCCATGGATCTAGGATTTGATGCGTTAGTCGAGTTACTCGCAGTCTCCAGTGAGTCCGTCTCTCTGCATTAACCATCTCAAAGCCACATTGTCCTTCTTTCTTGTTTCCCTTTCTTCAGACACCCATGGGCTATTCCGACTATACCGAGAGAAAAGACCTACCAGAAAAACAGTCTTGTTCCACTTCCCCGACTTGGGCACACCATATAGATACTCGTACGTCTGTCCATTCAGCGTCGCCTTCTTGACCTCGATGCGCGAGTCAGACTCTGGGTTGATGGGTTCGATGCTCGCCATCTTTTTTTTTCTCTCGTTGTTTCACTTGACTCGCAAACAAAAGGCTATAGTCACAATAGGAAAAAAAGTCCCTCGTCTACCCCAATACAAAGGTGAAGACGGAGATGTAGTACAAGGTAAGTGTTTTAGTTGTCAGGGAAAAGTCGGGGAAAGAGCAGTAGTTGATATGCTTTCCTACGGGAGCTACTCAAAGTAGAAGTTCGTACGGTAGCTTGCTTTCGTACGAGGTGTGATGCAAAAAAAGCGGATATGCCGAGGCAAAGTACGTACTTGGGGCGGAGTGGGGTCCGCGTCACATTTCGCAACCAGGACCGTGATTGTCGGGCCTTTGTATGTATGGTGGTTTTTGGTTTTTGGACAAGTCATGCTACGTTTCGCTGCTCATTTCGCAATGTTGGTTTTATATATAACTATAGCAAGCAGAGAATATACTAGGTGTTTAGGTACATGCAACGAGCAATTACGGGTGTGAGTGGAATTATTAGGTTATGTGTATTTTCTCTAATAGTGGGTTGCGTCCTTTGCATGCATATGAAGCCAGAATCTAGGTTCGCGAGCTACAGCTTAATGCGGACCAAGGCGGACAAAAGTTTGTAACTCAATTGCCTATCGCTCTTTTCCTTGGACACACCCACACTTGGTCTGGTAGTCAGCAAGCAGTGTATTTTCTTTCAACCCAGCATATTTGGCAGCGTGTAGTCTAAGTACTGGCTTGTTGTGCATAATGACTTATCACTATGCTGCACCTGATTAGGCTGTATGATGTAGTATGACGTCACAGCAGCTGATGTAGTAACAAGAATCCCCAACTAGGGCTTTGTTGCTTTCTTGGGTTATGCTCGAAAGTATCATCGCACTATTGCTCCAGGTCTTTACATTGAGTTATGAATCGGATAGGACCTAGAAGCCAAAAAAACTCCAGTAAGGAAGACGATCGGCGCGTGGAAAGACGGGTCTCGGAAGGGATCGAAGGTATTGTGTCCAAACGTATATCCACGAAAGCAAGATGTGGTTAGTGAACAGTAGATGTCAAACGGAAGAAGTTCCCAGCGACACTCAGTAGATGACGGTGTCCTCGGCAGCCTCCTCTACGACGTCTTCTCCATTCTCATCTTCATCATCCTTGGCAGCCTCTTCGGGGACGATATCACGACTTGCACCCCTGACATCTTGCGTATCCCCGGTGGTGTGTTCATCCCTTGCTTCCGTATTGGTGTTGGGATCGCCAGAATGTCGACGGTCTATTTCCATGTCCTCAGGCGGAGCAGTGCTGTCATTAGTTGCACCATTGGCTGTGGATGTTGCGTGAGGTGCATCTGCATCATGGCTCTTACCAGTCTGGGAATCTGCTGCATGGCGGTTCATTTCGTCGGCAGCGTGCCGCTTCCGCTGATTATCCGCGTGTTGGCGAGCCTCGTATTCAGCCACCTCATGTCTGATGATATCTTTGGCTTCGGCTATTTGGTCTTGTATGCGGTCGTCTTCGTCGGGGCTGGTTTCCCAGGGCTTATAGTACTGGACCGGGAATTAGCATTCGGGAATGTGCACCTGGGTCATGCGACAACGTACGAGACGTGGTTCTGTCTTGGTCTGGAGGAAGTGAGCCATGCTGAGGAGGTTGTCATGACGGATGCGCATCTGGAAATAGTAAGTCCTGGCTGAACAGAGTGTCATGTGTTGTCGCGTCTTACTGATTCCCTCTCGAAGCGCTTCTGTTCTATCCATCGCTGCTCTTTTCGCCTTGCTGCGCGCTCAGCCCTCCTCTGTTCGCTCTCGTGGTCTTCTTGCTTGCGTTGGGCCAACTGTCTCTGCTCGATTTCAAAGCGGCGTTTCTGTGCGGTGGTAGCAGTGTTCTGTGAGAGCGCTCCCAGAACGGCGCCGAACAGCCTGCGCTCTCGTCCTCTCTCGCGGCGCACTGGGGCATGCTTGGTGTCTCTGGAGCCGGAATCATGTCTACCGTTGTCGCCGGATGGATCGTCGGCCTCGATTCGTGGGCGCTTTGCCGGGTCGTCTGAAAATGACTCCTGGCGTCTTTTCTGGCTGTACACGGGCGAGGCTGGTACTGAGAGTTCGTCGGGAACGACTACAGCGGACGCAATAGAAGCGTCCATTGTTACATGGAACGCAACTAGGCAGATTCTTCTATAGTTGTGATGTGCTATATGCCCTGCAACGAAGCCAGCATGCCACGCGTCGTAGAAAAGAAAGGGTGAGTGAGACGAGGCATATCTAACGCGACACGGGCTCCGGCGCAGAGTAGGTGTTCATCTCCACGGGTAGTGCTTGGCTTACGCTAGCAGCGGACCCCCGAAGCTCGACTTTCACTTCTACAACTTTCTCTCTCGCGCCTCCCACTACAACAAACGCCACTTGATAACAAGAGACATAACACAGTGATCCTACGAGTCTAAATATCTCTCGCAATACTTCCATCTGAAGACACAAACAATATACTAAGAACAAGCCCACCATGTCTCGCCATCACCCGTAAGTTCACCCATACCCTTTCCCTCACCCTCTCCTCCCCCACTCACATAAACTAACATTTCTCCTCATTCAGCGATCTCGTAATGTGCCGCAAGCAATCTGGCATATCCATCGGCCGCCTCTGCGACAAATGCGACGGCAAGTGCCCCGTCTGCGACTCGTACGTGCGCCCCACGACTCTCGCCCGCATCTGCGACGAATGCTCCTTCGGCAACTACCAGAACAAATGCGTCGTCTGCGGTGGCGAGGGCATTTCCGACGCTTTCTACTGCTTTGAATGTACACGCCTCGAGAAGGATAGAGATGGGTGTCCCAAGATTATCAATCTGGGAAGTAGTCGGACGGATCTGTTTTACCAGAAGAAGAATTTTAGAAATCATTGATGGGGAGCTGGGGATATCAGTGTGTGTATGGAATGGGATCGTGCCGGATGCGTTATGCGCTGGTAAGAGAAGAGCAGAAGAGCAGAAGAGCATGGAAAAGCAGACATTACGATTCGATACAGAGGCGTTTTAGGAGTCCAAGATACCTCGAGATTGTTCTTAACGGTACCTATGCCATTTTTCTTGATCGAAAAACTTGGTACTGACAAGTTCACAAGATTCTTCTTTGGTTTATTCAAAGTTGTGGAAACACCAGCGCAACAACGACATACCTTTTTATATCAATAGTATGGCATACTTTAAATATCTCTAGGAAGAGTGGACAATGCAAAGATGAATAGTTCTATTAAAGTCGCCCCTGCATCTATCTAGCAGAGCTTGGGTATCATGTTCGCAGCTTCAACGCGCGTCCCAAAAAAAAAGACCAGAAAACGCCAAATCCAGATGCCACTGGATGTAGACAAGCTTTTCAGCTGATAGCAATACTCGAAGATACGGTTTGCCTCCCCGATACATCAAATGTGTACCAACCCTAGCTGTCCTCCTCGTCATCTCATTGCCCATTCACACCTGAATTGCTAAACTTGCGCTTCTTGGCCTCACGCTCGCCTGCATCCTGCGACGGTCGATACTGATCGAGCTTGCCCTGCATACGATACGTTTCACGCTTGATATTCTCCGAGTTGGCCAAGAGGTCCATCTCCGTGACAGGCGCTTCAATACTTTCCAATACGCTATTGACCGTGCTGATATGATTAGCATCTTTCTTGTCGTCGCGCCAGCGGGGCGTGCCGTCTGCTTCTTGCTTGTATTTCCACTGCCCATTGTCTGTACGATAACACTCAATTATGCGGCCGTCCAGACGCTGGTTGAGGGATTTGAGTGTTTCCCACTCGGCTGGGGTGAGGGAAAGCTGGGCAAATACTTGGTACTTGTTTTGGTTGTGCTGGACAAGGAGTTCGATGGGTTGCGGCATTGCGTCGTAGTCGGGTATCAGGCCTTCTTCACCGTCTTCGGGGTCGATGAGAGGGAACTCGCCAAGGCGGAGCTTGAAGTCGATTGTGTTCTCGTGTGGTGGCTTCCATTTGAGAATGTGTCGATCTGTGCCAAACTGATATGGTGTGGATACACAGGTGAAAATTAGGCCATCGTTGCCGTGCCGAAGGTTTGGCAGTATGTTACTGAACATGTCCTCAAGTTTATACGCTGCATATGTCTTCTTGCCCTTGAGCGCAAATGGCTTGAGGTCATCCGGTCGGATGTTCTTGCCAAAAGTCCTCGTCAGGTACATCTCGTACGGTTTGATGACCCAATCGTGCAACCGCCCTAACCGTTTGTCTAATGTTCTCCCCGTGACATTCTGCTCGTTGACCGCCAAACAATCGAAGACGTAGAAATTCAACCGCGGCACAGGCTCGTTTGGATACTGGTCATGCACTAGTTCGCCATCCAGGATAGTGCCGTAAAGAAAGGGCTCGGGTTCGTTTGGATGCATGTAATGCGGTATTCGAAAGGGCGGTCGCACGTCGTAGTAATTGTTCTTGCGGTCAATCAGAAAGGTCAAAGGCTCAAAGGCACCCGTCGGTCCCTCCTGCCAGTGGAGGAAGAGAAGACAGCGCAAGCCGTCCGTCTTCTCACACATGAAGTATTCGTTCCGCTGAAGCTCGGCAATATGTTCGCGTGCAAATGATACGGGCTGGGCGCCTGGAAAGCGCACATTGTCGCGTTCGAGAAGGTCCGCGACAGCTTGTTTGAGTGGTTGCGCTTCATGGTTGGGTATGAGGAAGCCTGGTATCTGTGGCGGAGGTGCATGTGACGGTCCCGTGGCCGGCATCTTGAAGAATATGGTATACTTTCGTGATAATACGCGGGTTTGGGTATTGCGTGTGCGTTATTAAGAAGGTGAGACTAGGGTTGTGGAGTATAAGCTGAATTGTGTTCGCGGCTACTCCAACCATGGAACTACTACGCGCCAAGGTTTACCTACGTAGGTTCGGTCATGTCAGCCAGAATAATCAGCCACGTTGCGCCGTCAAGGCCTTGTCCATAATAAAAAAAGAACTGATATCTCAAAGAGTCAAAGAATTACTGAGTAATAGCGTTTGTGTTCACAATTTCTAAATCACGGTTTGACGGGTGGTTATTGAGGTCTGACTCGCGACTCAGGCAAAGAACTTGGTATGGTCACTGTAGAGATTACATCTATGGTAGTAAGTGCAACCTGCATAAGTCGTCTGAATTGGTAATTTGTGCGGCTTTTTTGTAGTCATGTGCAATATATATGTCCCATTTACAATTTGCTATGGGAAACCCTTCGTATAAGTAGCGATATCTTTTGCCCTTATTTTGCATTATACCTGCTGTCTTTAGTACAATTTTCATATAACCGAAACCGAAATGCCCTGAAATCACTCCTACAAAAATCGAGACAAGAAATGCCCCCAAATTTTCCCCATTGGGCATGCAAGTATCCGCTTGTCTGTCGAGTTTCTGTTCCTCCTCATGCACTCATTTGGTCTTGTCCTACTTCCCGCTCCGTCGAGGATGGCACCCGGGCGCAACTCAATGGTGTCCTTGTAAATGGTCGAGTAAAATGAAAGCAATGCGCAAACTTGCTGTCGTGTTACTTGGCAGAGTCTTCATGATAGCGATGATACATTTACTCCAATTAGATACCTGCCGAATCGTGTGCAAATACATTACGCAATGATTGAGCTGGGATGAAGAGGTGCTATGTCTGTTCGTTGACAGCCGGAGTTCGAAATGGTTTACCGAATAATGGCACAGACACATGGTCGGCCCAGCCAGATATTCGTTCATACAAATTTCAGGCTTCCAGGGTGTCGTCTTCACAGCATATCTGTAGGAAACAGCACCCTCGAAACTTGTAGAGGTCAAATGTTTTATGATGCAGTATACTCTGGGGGAGGCACTGTGTCTGCGATGGGTGGCGCCATGTGCCTTGACCCAAGCTCATGTATTGATGGCGTAGTTGCCAGGGGCTGAGAATCCCAACCCACATTGAGGTAGTGAGGTGGCTCCATGGAATCCACCTCTTGATACGCTGGCCTAGGCTCTAGGTCGTATACTGGAAGGCCATCCTCAAGTTCAGATGGATTTGCCGTCCGTGGCGCTGTGGTTAGGTAAACGGGCTGGGTACACACAATGCTAGACCACTCTCGATCGGCACATTTGCCAGTGATTTCGATTTGTAACTCGTACTCCAAGTTGAGGCCATAGGTTGTGAAACTTGGGGTAAAATCGTGACCTGTAAGCTTGACATCTGCTATGTCTAGTAAGGAAAGTCCATTGTATAGCAGCTTTCCACTTCCCTTTTCGTACTTCTTGTCGCAGATCATGATGTGGCCCCTTTCTGAATGCATGTGTTGTTTCTTTGGAGGACGTGCTGATGGATCACCGGGCGTGAATATGTTGAAGACAAAGTTCAACTGGACTTTGAGGCGACGTATAAACAGATCAGGCGGGCTCGCAAGCGATTCGGAGCGCTGGAGGTGCTGGACACTGATGACAACGGGAACTTGGGAGCCGACAACTAGGACACGAGCAGGAGTCGCGGATATAGTGAATTTGACATAGGGAATCTCTGCCAAGCTCTGGAATCCAAAGAGCAACTCTTTATCAGCCAGCTTGTCCTTGATCTTCATAAGCTTTCCCGCCCTCTCTTCGTAGTCTTGAAACAGTTTGCGCGTGCGGATGAACTTTTGGTGGCTACAGTGTTTGGGTAGCGTTGTGCCAAAGTTCGTGTCTGGTTGGAGGAGTGTGGGATGGAGGTCGGGTGGTAGTGGCGTGTACTTGAGCTCTTGGCGTACCCTCACAGGCAAACCATCCGGGTCGCTACTCTCCATGGTCACCTCAAGTTGATATACAATCTGCACATCTGTACATGTTGCAGCACAACTCGGAGGCAGTGGAAATCCTGGAGAGTGCTGAAAGCGTGGATGATTGAACGAGTCCTCTGAATGGAGCCAATCTCTATCTGTTGGCGGTGGGAGGCTCACATGTTGCGCAAAGGTGAAGGAGAAGGGCAGTTCTGCCTTTCCGGGATTTGATGAGCTTGTGGGCAGGAGATCGAGGTTGGAGCTATTGCCTGCAGAAACGAACAAATCCTGCGATTCTCGACAGAGCTCAATGTAAGTTGGCTTGCCAGAAGAATGCGGGGTGACGGAGAAGCCTCTAAGGACAATGTTGATGCGCGGAGATCGTGACTGGGAGATGAGAAGAAGCCCTCTCACGTGATCTCCAGCCGTGTAAGCCGGCGGCGAGTTGAACAAGTGGATGTAGACGGGGTTGTCTCTGCGGTTGGCTCGTCTGCCAGCGAACGGCCCCTCAGGCGCCATGGTAACGAACGGGTGTTTTGTGTCGCTGAGGCGATTCAATGAAACAGCGGGAAAGACGCGTAATAAAGCAGCAGGTGACGGACAGAGGATTGACAGACGGGGGATGCAACGACACCTTAACCCCCGGTCTCTTCCCCGGTCTCGGCGCCTGCATACCAAGCATCAGGGGTGTTCACGCATGAGCGCCAAAATGCCATGGTCGAGGCACTGCGTGTGAATGTCATGATTGGTAGGTAGCTAAGTACCGAGCCAAGTGTGTAACCGGGTACAGGTGACAGCGGAGCAATGGCAGACGTGATGATTGGAGAAAACAACCCTCTCGACTGATGGAACGGCGCTGCTTGATGGGATCATGTCGGGGGCGAGCATCTGTGTGAGGCGCATGGGAGAGAGATGCTTGCCATTGGCTCCTTCCGCCGGCCAGGGTGGTGCCGTCATCGATGGCGGGCGCGCGACTCGCGACTTCGCCAATTCCATCCAGGCAAAGACTGACTGCCTTTGCACAGCACACACCCACACATACACACATTGCCCACAATGGCCTCCAGCTACATGTGCTCGGCCTGCTCACGCGCCATACGCAGGTCCTCTACGCCCCGTTTGCAGGTACACAGCCCCGTTCCGCCGTGCTGGCAGCAATTGACTTTTGTAGCCTTCAAACAAATTATCTCTCCGCCAAGCGCATCGAACTTTCTCCGCAGCAACTCCAACCTTCTACCATGTGTCACACGCCAGGTCGGCAGACGTAAGACCAGAAGCAATCAAGAAGCCGCACCCGAGCGTGGCATCAGGTGTCACTGGACTGGCTCAGAAGTTGCGTGAAAAGGCCCCGCTGATGACTGAGACCTACGTCGCATACGGCGCAACAAGAGACCTGATCAAGGAATGCACCAAGCCGGGCGAGTACAAAATACCGCAGGCTCTGCTGAAAGGGGGCGAGATACCCGTCGATGACAATGGCGTGCACCTGGGAGAGGCCGAGGGTTGGTGGTATGACAGTAAGTCTAGATTGTGGCACAGGCACGCACGCACTTGGCTCACTTCTACACAGCCCTCGGACTGAAGCCAACCTTCTCCAACTGGGCGCAAATCACCTTTATTCACATGTACATGCTGCAAGTCCGTTTCCGCATGTTCCCCCAAACACACGCTCCTGTGTGGATCCAGCATCTCACCAACCATGCCTTTTACGCAGCCGAAGATCGTCTTGTGGTGTGGCACAAGTTCAATGCCAATTCCCTACGCCAAAAGTACCTCAAGGACATGTTCTCTCAGTGGCGTGCAGTGCTCCTGTCATATGATGAAGGTTTGGTCAAGGGCGACGCCATGCTTGCAGCTGCAATTTGGAGAAATCTACTCGGCGCTAGAGAGGACGTGGACTTTGAGAAGCTGGCCCAGATTGTAGGATACATGAGGAGAGAACTGAAGAGGCTGGACAATGCCACCGATGACGATGTGGCGAATGGGCAATGGAAGTTCCGCGGCAGTCCTGGAGACGAAGCCGGTCTGGTAAAGTCACCAAGTAGGTTGATGGCGACCGAGACGGTCAAAGCTTAATGAATTAATGGGAAGGAAAAGGCACCAAGTGTACTATATCTGTATCTACTACACGAGACGCATGAAACCCCAAGGATTCTTCTTCAATTACAAGATTACGACACAAATGAGAGCTCGAGACACTACCACTCAACTTATCTTCTGCCATTCTGTAAAATTACTCGCAGGATATATTAATTAGGAAACAGAGTGCGCGTAACAGTCAAAATTAGTACGCTCCGTTCACAGCCTGAGTATGCTCACTCAGCAGCCATGCCCAGTCCGGCCATGCACTGAACCTTGAGAGCACGTGTTCAAGATTCAGGAGGCACAACTCGTTTCTCTTTCTTTATCTGCACAAAAGAAAATACATACGGCCCGCCATTGCTGCACAAACAAAATAACTGCCAGTCGGTGATCTGGAAGAGATGGGGTGCATATGTCGGATCCAGTTGACCCAATAGCCAATGCGAAGAGAAAGCAACTGGTCCATACACTAGGCGCTTTGCCATTCTGCCGTATTCCGAGACTTCGAGCTCCAAGACATGCTTGCTTATGGAGTTGACGTCATCTTTGCAGCGCGACTGCTCTATCTACCCCAACAAGTCACTTATCCTGCAATATATGACCTTGTACATCTGCCAAACTCATCCTCTTAAGAATCATTGTGCCTTTAGATTGGTACCAGGAATACAAGTCCATGTGGCTGATGTGTTATTTCTCCACGGCTGGCGACAAAATTGAAGGCTCGAGATCCGGTGACTGACTTATCAAAATTTCCTTCAAACACATCGTACCTCAATGGCCCATTGTTGCAATCTTTAAAGCCATCAATTTTTGTTGGCCCCGGCGCTAAAACTCAGAAGGAACTGGGATCATTTCCTGACCTCGATTTGCAACGCTTCAGCCAGGAACAATATCAATACGATCCGCAGGCTCCTCTGATACTGCAAGTTCGAAAGGAGCGGCCTGCCTGGGGGGTGGTACAAGATATCGCAACCGGTCTTGCAGCATCTCTGGTACGCTGATTCTCGAGCACACAATATGTCCTTGTCCATCAACTGCGGTGATCTCGAGAGCGGCATTCTGTTCTGATATGGAGATCGATATCCTTGACGCGTCGGCACTAGTAGCCCGCAGCTTAACAACCCATGAAAGCAGACCGGTAGTTGAGCTTGTCAGCCCACCCATGGGCGCTGCACGAAGAGTCAACAATTTCATGTTGACTTCATTATGACCCTTCTCCACGACCACTACGAAACGGCCATTGCAGGATACTGCACCAGCAAGAACGCTTGATCCCACCACGCCGTCGGGTAACGGTTTTATCATCTGCCGGAGGGTTTGTGGGCTGGTTTCAAAAGTATCAATCGGCACGATAAAGGTTCGGGGGAGGCTTGATCCTGGCTTGTGGTCCACTGTGCAAAGAATGTAAGACCTTCCCGTTGGTGAAATAATCAGAGTGGCTGTCGATATCTCGTCGCGAAAAGCCTGGAAGCAGTCAGCCCTGTACGGAATGCTCGTAAGGATATCTTACGCGTTCGCTGCCGCTCGCATTGCAGTCAACGTGCCAAATCGGGTCCAGACGAATAGTCGACTTGAAGCTCAACTGTTTACTGATATTCCAACAGTATAGGTGGTTTCCTGTCGATAAAGCAAAAGCCATGAGGCCGTATACAGCATCGCTCCGAAGAGGCGAAAAGCCGACGACCTTGATAGCCCCGTTATTCTGCGGGCATGTCAATGTGGTGCAGTGGTTCTCGACATTCCAGCCTTGCATATAGATGTATCTGAAGACCTTGACCCCGCTTGTCCCTTCCCCGCCCACCGCGATACTCGCAGTAGCTCCCCCTTCAACAGACGGAGCGCCCTTTTGCGAAATAGACACTGATCTTGGAGTCCAACATTCGTTTTGATCAATGCGCTGTTCCTTCACCAAACTGGGTACGTCGCCGCCATGTCGACGGTACTCATCATAAACCAATAGGCGCCTGTGGGTGATTACAGCAAGCAAATCCTCCGACAAAGCGATCCCCCGTATTCTCTCGTCTTTATGTGACATGGGAATGCTTAACTCGGCTGCGAGTGGGATCTCTCGACTCTGGTTCTCATTCCGCACGTTGTATAGCCGTACTTGCTTGGACGAACACACAGCGACCCAGCCTAATGGCGAGACTGACGTTGCAACATCATACGGCTTGGATAGAAACCTCTGGCCAGGTCTGTGCAAGCGGGTTTCGGCATGCGAAGCAAACGAGGCTGAAAACAAAGGGAAATTCTCTATGGCTAAAGAAAAACGGCGCGTGGAGGGATGCGAAGAACTGCTTGAAATTGACATCATCGACAAGCGCAAAACATGGATGCCATGAGAACGAAGAGGAGTTGTAGAGAGTATGGCCCACGGAGCACAGCGGAACCGCGAACGCCTGGAAACGGACGGTCAGCCCGTGTTCTGGGGCCAGATACGGCGGCAGTTGTTATCAGTTGTGATGACTAGATCCAACTGGCATCGCGCATGCGCCTCAGCCCACGAACTCAACGTATGAAGCATCGGTTACGTGGCCCAGACCACGGCGGCTTTTGACGTTTAAGATGTATCCAATTAGCAATTTCTAGCGACGCCAGCCTGTATCTTCTGTCCAAAAGTGTACACCGGGAGGCCGCAGCAAGCGTGGCTTTGATACTAAAACGCACCTACACGCCAGTCGTATTTGGCTGTGGCGTTTCTTAGTGCCATCTACCAACTTCACGTGTACAACCCGATGCAGCCGCGGTGATCTTGCCCGGATTTCCATTATCCTGACCAATCACCATGAAGCCAAGTCGTGTGCCAATATACCGTTTCTATCCCGAGGTGTTCCTATTGATTGTGGCTTCAGCAGGCAGAAGCGAGGGCTAGCAAGAGGGCACGCTGTGTAGTCTTGGTCTTTGGCTTTGAGGCATGGGACCGGCGTACATCAAGTTGACACGCCCGGAAACCAGGCTGGCGGAAGGCTCGAAATTGTTCCAAAGTGCTGCCTTGACTGGTTGTGGCACACTGTTGCGGCATGAGTACTTGGAGTGTCTCACTCATAGTCGCACTCTCCACGGTCCACCTAATCAACTTTGCAGCCTCACAGTCGCCCTGACTCGCCAGAAAGCATGGATGAGGAAGAACGGCCATTAGACCGATCACCATACTATGTCACGCATTCTGAACACCTCGATCGTGTCCTCAGCAGGCCTCAACTTGCAGGTAAGCTGGCCATGGTTCCAGAGAAACGGCATTTTGTAACGTCACAGGCATTGGCATTTCTGGCTGCATTGGTGGAGGCATCTTTATTACTTCGGGTGCCTTGATATCTACCACTGGATCGCTAGGAGCTGCTATCAGCTATGCCGTCGCAGGAGGAATCATCGCTTGCGTCATGTACACTCTCACGGAGATGGTGACATGCCGACCATTGACTGGTTCCCTCATCGACCTCCCTCACACTTTCTTGGATCCTGCATGCGGGTTTGCAGTTGCATTCATGTACGGGTATGTTTTTGTTATCTCCATTGAAATCCAAAGCTGATAGGAAAAGATTGGGCAAGATTTTCGCCATGGCTACACTTACAGCGCAATCGGCAGAACTCACTGCTCTTTTGAAGAGCGACCCAAAGCCACACTCTACGGGTGCAGAAGCTGCCATAAACATTGCTTTCATTGCGTTGACAACTTTTTCTCATTGCCTTGGCGTTAAGGTTAGTTGAGACTTGAAGATGATAAGTTGCACTCGAGCTTACATTCCACCAGCTTTATGGCAAAATCGAACGAGTACGCTACACCCAATGTACGTTGTGGAACTGTATCTGACATGATGTGTGTAGGTAGTGATGTGGTTTAAGATAAGCTTGCTTGTGCTTGTGTGCGTAATGATGGTAGTGATCAACCTCGGAGGTATGCTGTCAAAGTTTACGATATTGTGGATGCTTTTCTGATTTAATCTAGGCGACGGTCCAAGGGAAGGAAAGTACTACGGAAGTGAGTGTCTGTCTTCATCAGTCACACTACGTACACTAACCAGCAGCACAGACTATACAACGCATGGGTTTACCCCCGACTGGAAACCGATTGGACACAATAGTACGACGGCCGATCCTCTGGCACTGAGAGGCGTCTCAGATTATGCTTATGGGATCTCTGGGCCCGGAGGCGTCCTATTCTCATTCATGTAAGTGCTCTGTCATTGTGTTGCGGCAGCTGTGTTAACGATAGGCAAAGCACTTCAATCACACTTGCCATGTTCTCTTGCTTCGGAACAGACCTGGTTGCAATGACTGCGGGAGAGGCGAAGAACCCCTGGAAGGATGTGCCAATTACCATGTCCTTTGTGTACCTTGTGCCCCTCAGCATATATCCTTTTGCCATCTTTGCTGCTGGATCGAACGTTAATTACGCGAACCCAAACCTACCCAAGATATGGACAAGAGGTGGAGGCGCTACGACATCAGTCTTTGTCATCGCGGCCCAGGAATCCTCACTCCATGGACTGCCAAGGGCACTGAACGCACTCTTTATAGTATCGGCATACACGACTGCAAATAATGACCTGTATGCTGCTTCGAGAAGCGTCTTCATGCTGTCACAACAATATCTCCCGCACAAAATCGCCAAGATATTTGGTCGGACTAACAATGGCCACACGCCGCTGGCGGCCATTCTGTTATGCTCAGCCCTGGGATTCATATCACTCATTGGCCTGGCCGACAAATCCGGATCGCAACCACGCATTACGTTGTCTGAGCTCTACACGGGGACGGCCACATGCATCAACCTCTGCCTTTGTATAACCTTTTTGCGCTTCAAAGCCGGCCTCGACCGTCTAGCCAAGCGAAAGATTTTCGGCCGAAACCACCCACTGTACAAATCCCGACTCTTCAAGTCGCGCTGGCAGCCTCTCCCCGCCTACATTGGCATTGTCGGTAGCGCATGCGTAATCCTCTGGTCCGGCATCCCACCTTTCGTCATCCTCGTCACAAAAAGCAGCCTCACATCGACCGAAAGCCTCAAATCAACAATCAACCTCGCCTTTGACGTGCTAGGCGCATACGTTGGCCCCGCCCTCTTCGCTCTGCTCTACCTATGCTACAAATACATCTACCCGCGCACCTCGGCCGTCGACATCCGCAACCTCACCGTCGAAGACTACGTCCTCCAAGACCTCTCGTACATTGAGCTCGAGGGCCCGGAGTCGGTCCCGCACATCCCGCGGCCCCGCTTCGACTCGTACGAGATGGACGGCCAGAACGATGGCATTGCGAGTCCTGTAAACGCCATGTTCCAGGATCCGTTCAAGGAAGAGGGCACGTGGAATGTCAATGTTAGTGCAAATCCCGATTCGGTCATGCAAGAGGAGATGGAGGCCGAGGCGGCGCGCAGGAACGAGAGAGCGAGGATCAGGCAGATTCTGGAGCGCAGGCCGATGCGAATGGGGCGCGGGTTTTGGAGGGAGGTGTGGAGTTTTGTTAAGACGGATAAGGAGGAGTGAATTTGTGTGTATGTATTATTTTTTTTACCAGCGAATTAAATTTAGGACAATATTTATTTCAACTTCACTATGGTTTTTTTTTCTTTCCAAACATGGTTATGTTTGCGGTATTAAGATGGATTTTTTCTTTGAGGAATAAATGGGAAGGGGGGGGGGGAACTCTCTTCCAAAGAACTTTCTTTTTACCTTAATTTCATGATACGGGTAGACGAGATGAGCAGCGGCCTTGCTTCGGAATGTGGAGTGTGTGTGTGCATGTATACTGTAGCTGTGAGCGCGGCCGGTCGGGAAAAGTCGGGGGGGTTTTACTTGCGGACCATATCCCCATAATGGATTGCACCGACGAGCAAAAACTTTTGACATGTAGTGCTTGAATGTATGTGGGGAAAAGAGAGAAAGAGAGAAAGAAACAGGGTCGATAGAGAATGGTGAAGAGGATACAAAGAACTTGAATGTTTGTTAATGTTTGATATTTGATTCTGAAATATGGTACATAATTCGTAGCCCCCCTATTTATTCTCGAGGGTTTCTCTTCGACGCCAGATGCTATGAAAAAAAAAAGAAAAAAAAACGCTAGATGCTATGCTGAGTGATGGAAATGAGTTCTGTCTCCTTCCGTTCCGCAGGGCACACGAGCCGGGGACAGCTTGAATGCTGTGATGGCCGTTGCTCGTGGCCTGATATGCAGTGTGGGGTCCATGGCGCGCAGCGCATGGACTTCCTTGTTCTCCCTCGTTCCCTTCTTTCGCGGCCTTCGTATGGCGTGCATGTCCTTCGTTGCACGCGACACTGGTCGTTTCTGCTTGGCTAGTTTCTCACAATCTTCCCCCCTTCAACGCCTCGCATTCACTCATTGCACCTCGTAAATTTCCATGGCGCGCTGGAGATCCTCGATGCTGGTCTTGTCACCATAGGCCTCCTCGAGCATCTTGTTCCTGTCCTTGCGAGTAGTGAGCCTGGCTTCTAGACCGGCAATGGCGCGCTCCATGTCTTGCAGGCTAGAGCGCTCGCCATAGGCATCCATGAGCATCTGGTTCTTTTGCTCCTGGGTCAGCTCTAGTGCAGAGTGGACCTTGCGGTTGGCATCATTGAGGGCATTTGTAACACCAAAACCTATGGTAGCATTAGCATCACCAAGCGAAAGTGGCCGGCGAGGCTGCGACGATGATGCATCTCTGGGGAGATAGATCATACCGATGGCTACCATGGCCATGGTAGGGAGGTACCTGTGTCTTTGTTAGTCTTGGCTGTATACAGGTGGTGATTGACTGTATCAGCAGTAGACGCACCATCTGGCGACCCTTCCGAGCTTGGGGACAACGCTGGCGCCTGGGGCGGCTGCCATGTGTGCTGCTGTGGCATCCTCGAGGGAAATGGCAGTGCGAGCACGTGCCGAGGTGGTGAAGAGCCTCTGGCGAACGAGGGTCGAAGTGCGGAGGAGGAAAGACATGTTGTTGGCGGTTGTGTAGTAGCAGGAGTGACGGCAAGTGAAATGGCCAGTGGGTGATGCTCGAATAGGGTAGATGTGGGTTGACTTATATCCCGTTGGCGGCGGTGGTGATGATGGTGATGCTGGGGATGGGCTTGGAATGTGGATGTGATGGCCAAGAGGAGCGTGTATCGGCCGCGGCTTGGTTTCTGGCAGGGAGATGTTTGATTGATGCGTGGAAAGGTGTGTTCATGCGTGGTGATGCGTGATGTGTTCCGGTCAAGGGACTCCAAGGCGCGGACTATGCGGCCTGTATATACGGCGGCGTTGTGCGGGGAAATGCAGGTCACCGGCGGGCTGTGCAACCAGTGTCTCTCCACGACCATGCTCGTGTCATGCCACGAATCACAACACTTGACATCACCGGGCTCCCTGACCCTGAGAGGAGCAGACGGCCAATCCGAACCATTGTCGTCCCGTGTCTTCGAATCCGGGGACTGCTGACGTACCGCGCTGCTGGGCGGCGTGAACGCGCCCCTTCTCTCCCGGCCGCGCATCGAAGTCGACTTTGTGTCCATCGCAGCCGCGCCCACTTCTCTCTTACCACGACTTGGCGGCCGTGACCCGTCTGGGATGCGTTTCAGCTGTGAGGACGGCAGTGGCCGACGCCCAATTGCACGTCAGCGGGGCGGGGAGTTACATCCAGGTGGAGTTAGCTGTGTGCTGCTGGTGGTTAGACGACCGTCTTTCGATTGTGGGGTGAGGCTGCCGGTCACGAGACTCGCCCATGTCCCGCCATGCTGATGTCAGCCTGCATATCCATAATGATAACCGGTTCCTCGTCCGGCCACAGACCTCAACGTCAACACCATGATTGTTCTTCATGTCGCCTATCGTCATTGGCACCCGATGCAAACTTCTCCTGCAGGATACTTCACAGGCCCCGGATTATGACCGCATCGGCAGCACACGTTTCTTCTATTGTACTGCTCATACCTACTTACTGGAACCTCGGCACCCACACACTGATCAAAACGAAACCCAGAATGCTTGCGTGGCCAGTAGTCTTCGCATAAGATACCTCTGGGTTCTTGTCAGTACCAACATCGGAAAGATGTTGTGATAGAGGCCCCAGGCTCTTCGCGCACACACATGGGCCAAACAAGGCGAATTTCTCATACCCCAGACCACAACAGCTTTAGTTAGCGAATATCAAGATGCTCGACTTCATCTCATAGCATCCTGGAATTCAAATCACCAAGGATAATGAGGCTACCGATCGTAGATTGTGCATATTATTTCTGGAGTAGCGAATGAGCCTCAAGCAGCAGACCAGCTGCCTCGGACTTTTGTGTCAAATAAATCCCATCGTCGGTCCAAATGCCTTACGCCATAAAGCACTGACAAATGTTTTGTCAAACGTGAAACATGCGCCTCGCAAAGTCCAGACAACTAGGCAACACGCCATAGCTGGTCGACAACAAATGTGTAGGTTTGAAACGCTCCTACAAGCCATGAGTTCCGCGCGTACCTCGAGTTGAAGCTTAGCCCAGCAATGACATGGCGGGATAATGCAAATGCTGATACATACAAATAACTATAAGCTTAGTGTGGAAGAGCTCCGGCGGCTGTTACTTGATATATTGACCGCTCATCCGCCATGAGATGCTCACCTCTGTATACGCACAGTACATAGCGGTCCCGAATTTTCTAACAAGTGCTAGTTTGCTTAGCCACTATGTCCAAGCCAACGAATTCTCTTGCAACACTGTGCAGCAAGCACACGGGCTTGTAGGGAACTCACTCTAAATGCACAACTCTATCCGTCTTCCATGCGACTATCCTGTCATGAAAATGATGCCTATGGCACACGTCCTTATTCGTACTCCGAACGCCCTAGGCTACACAGACCCCGCTGGTGAAGTGACTTATAACTGGCGCAATGAAAATAAACCTTGTTCCACACTGTGTCCTTGCTGGTAATGGTCATGTCTGCTCCCATGGGTGATTGATGCCGCATAGGTAGAAGCACGCTACGTTCCTATCCGACACTGCAAAAGTGCATGCTATTGATATCAAGATGTCGAGTGCAGGCCACGGATGTAGCGGCGTGTACAAAGAGCCACTAGACTGAGTTTGTATCGAGATACGAGACGCCATTTCACAGGATGCTTTGAGACTGCAGCGCTATGGAGACACTCTGCAGAATATATGAGATGTGCAGTGGACTTTTCCTAAAGCAAAGAGTGGCATGTTTCGAAGTATGTTGTTGAGACAGCAGTGGACCCGGAAAATCTAACTAGGTTGGAAATCGCCATTTGCACTTCGGCCTTGGCCGTGTGGATGGCACAATGCTGAGAGACGTAGATGGATAAATCGATGACATTATACAACGTTTGCCGTACCTCTTAGGCACCACAAAGACATTCAAGTGCTCCGGTGTTCTTGTAGTCGTCTGTTATGAGCGAAATGATTTTAAGAAGAGTTAATTTGGTAACAGTCTGTCCATCAAGAAAAAGAAAGCACAAGGACACGCGTCGGCGGTTGCGGACTTGCTTCAGCCAGACCCACTGTATCCACCGAGAGCAACTGCCGTCTCTTTTGCATCCCAACCATAAAGCAGTTCGACGAATTAAATCTTAGCCCGCCCAACCAACAGTATGAACCAAACCCTTTAGGCAGAAGAGCCGCAGCTGTTTGGCCGGCATTCGGCCCCCATTTCAGCCAAGCTTTGCCGCAAAGCTTGACCGCGGATGGCGTTGCTTGGAGCATCGCCTACAATAAGTCAAGTATCCGATGTGCGGCTGCCGACTTCAGAAGCTATGTGGTAGCTAGCAACGAAGCCGTGGCGACAAAAGCGCAGGATCTTAGTTTGGGGACCCCATGGGCCCGCATTTCACTAATGGCGCCTATCTCTGGGGTCTCCACTGAGTGGGTCTCTGCGAGAGTCGGCTTCCGAGGAAAATAGCCTGGGGAACGGAGAGTACATAGCGGGGGAGACGCCACTGACGGATGCCAGCCGAAAGGTTGCTTGCCAGTCTCTTCCTTTTTCTTCATCTCTTCCTTATTTCCTGTGCGTGTACTATACTGATAGTCAGGATGAAGAGCCAAACAGTTGCGACAAACAAGGGTCTTGTTGCCGATAGCCCCAAGTACAGCGAGGACCTCGAGCATGCTGCTACTCATGGCACATATCTCGACAAGGAGGAAGCATCTCACCTCTCCGAAGAGCATCGCCAATATCTGCTGCAGCGTCATGGCACACTCGATCTCGACCCTCTCCCTACCATGGGGACCGCTGACCCGTACAACTGGCCTCAGTGGAAGGCAAGTGGTGCTCAACTTCTCCTCACTGGCATTCCTTTCTAACCAGCAACCAGAAAGTCATGAATGTCCTTTTCGTAGCTTTTCACGCTATGATGTGTGCGTTCCCCGCATCTGCCATTATTCCGGCCTACGAAGAGATATCCCAAGACCTGGGTGTCAGTATCCAAAAGGCATCGTACCTTACTTCCCTGCAAATTGCCATCTTGGGTGGTGGACCGTTATTCTGGCGACCTCTCTCAACACGATTCGGCCGGCGCCCCATCTTCATCATCTCGCTGGTCGGAAGTCTAGTCTTCAACATCGGCTGTGCCAAAAGTCAAACCTATGCTGCAATGGCAACGTGCCGCGCATTCCAGTCTTTCTTCATTTGCCCACCCAACGCCATCGGCAGCGCTGTCGTAGTCGAAACCTTTTTCCGCAAAGAGCGAGCAAAGTTCATGGGCATATGGACTGTCATGATCACTGTGGGTATACCTCTTGCCCCCCTCATCTTCGGCTTCGTAACATACAACGCGGGCTACCGGTGGATCTACTGGATTCTCGCCATCATCAATGGCGTCCAGCTTATTCTCTACTCCCTCTTTGGCCCCGAAACACGCTTCATGCGGCACGATAAGGCGCAGCATGCGTCATCCGGCCTCGCAGCCTACAAAGAAATGTACCTGAAATTCCGCCGCATTGATCCCACGCCCATGAGCCTATACGAATTCATATCTCCCCTCCGCCTCTTTGCCTACCCCTGCATCGTCATCCCCGCCTGCGCATACGCCATGGTCTTCCTCTTCGCCTCCGTCCTCACCACCGTCGAAATTCCCCAACTCTTCATGGAGAAATTCCATCTCAACGCCCAGCAGCTCGGCCTCCAGTTCCTCGGCACCATAGTGGGTACGGCGCTCGGCGAGCAAATCGGAGGCCACTCTAGCGACCGCTGGATGCGCTGGCGAGCAAGCAAAACGGCACCTTTACGACCTGCTCCTGAGTTCCGACTTTGGCTCTCGTACATTGGAATTCTGCTGACTATCTGTGGTATCACTGTTTTCCTGGTGCGTATCGAACAGGCGGCTCCGCTGCAGTGGAATGTCACGCCCATTGTTGGCGCGGGCATAGCCGCGGCTGGAAACCAGATTGTTACCACGGTGCTCATGACGTATGCGGTTGATTGCTATCCCGAAGAGGCTGGTAGTATTGGCGTCTTCATCACATTTGTGAGGCAGATCTGGGGCTTTTTGGGCCCGTTTTGGTTCCCGGATATGTTTGCCAAGGTCGGGGTTGCGGATAGTGCGGGTGTGGCGGCGGCGCTGCTGGTTGGAGCGAGTTTGGTGCCTGTTGTGGTTACGCATTGGAAGGGGTTTAGTAGTAGGGGAAGTATGGCGGAGAGTGGGTGAGATGTTGGAAGGAAAGAAAGAAGATATAATACTAGTTGTATTTACATCTTCGCATACTGGCTTCGACTTTATTTGTTCTAGTACTACTACCAGTACGAAACTCAGAAAAAAATTTCTTCCTACAATCCAAGAGCAAAAAACCCTCAAGATACACTGATGAATTAGAAAACTTAACTTTGTAAAACTTTTTTTTTAGAAAAAATTACAGGAATGCTCACAGCTTTGGCCCAAATCCGTCCTTGTCACACAGCTCCTCGGCCTGCGCCACAACATCCACCCCATACACATTCGCCTGCACATCAGCGTCGGCCCAGCGATCGGGGAACTTGCTCTTGCCTGGGTTGAGAGCCGCAAAAGCCTTGTCGCGCTCCTCTTTCGCCTTACCGGCACCCAGATGCATCTGGCGCCCGCTCTCGGCAGCCAGTTCAACCAGGGCCTCAGCCCGCGGCTTGCGCAGCTTCTCGTACAAGCGGAGTGCGCGCTCAATGGTTTCGGGCCTGCCGTCTGCGATGCGCTTGGGCGACAAGACAACACCGAGAACGGCACCGTCTTCGATGGCTTGCGCGGCGCCCTGAGCCATGTGCGGGAGAGTCGGGTGGCATGCATCGCCTACCAGTGCGGTTGGGCCATGAACCCACGTTGTCAGCGGGTCGTGGACTCTGAGCTTCCACTCGACAACCTCGCCTTCCGGCACCAAGTTCAGCATGCGGTGGATCATGGGGCAAAAGTCGCCGTAGACGTCCAGCATGGCTTTTTTGCTGCCCTTTGTCGTGTACTGTGCGTCTGGGGCGCCGGCAAAGTTTGTGTCTGGCTGCGCGGTGGAGATGTTGTAGATTTGCTTGTTGTGGATCGGGTATGCGATGATGTGTTTCTTCTCGCCAATCCAGCGTGTTACCGTGTCGGAATCGATGAGTTTGAGTAGCTCGGGGTCGTGCTCCATTTGCGAGCGGTTCAGCATGATGCGGTAGGCGGCTTGACCCGAGTCGCGGGCGGAGCCTGTGTGTCCGAGTTCCTTGAGCATGGCGACTCGAGTGCTGCTCTTGACTCCGTCGGCGCCGAGGAGGACGTCGCATTCGACCTGGTAGGGCTCGAGACTGCCTTGAGATGGAGTGACTGTGAATTTGGGCTTGGGGCCGAAGTGGAAGTCGGATACTGTGCAGCCCAACTTGAATGTGATGCCGCTCTCCTTGCAACCTTCAAATAGACCATTTGCAAGACTGGCTCGGTGGCCAACCATGTGTGGGTATCCGTACTTTTCTTTGACGTATCCTAGGTCTACGTATCCCAGCTCCTTGTTTGTTGAACCTTCCCTAACGGATGTGTTTGCGCATACGACGGCTTCATCGCGGATTGGGCCCCAGCAACCTAACCGGTCGAGGATGCGGGCCATGTTGGGTGCTAGTTGAATACCTGCGCCTACGAAGCCCATCATTGGAGCATTTTCGTATATCGTAACGTTCTTGTGTCCGGCTTTTGCAAGGGCGAGAGCTGTGGCAAGGCCGCCCATACCTGAGATACTATCATTAGTGGATGCACTTCGAGGGTGGGAATATGGATTAAAGAAGCATACCCGCGCCTACAATGGCTATTCTCGTTTGCTCCGCCATATCTTTTGCTTTGAATAAGCTTAACTCGGACGCTGCGTACTTGGTTGTATAGTGGCGGTCTACGTGGGGAAAACAGTTGATGCTGCGGCAAAGTTGTGTGTTGTTGACGAGAATATGGCTGACTCGTTGAATTCCAGCGTTACCAGTATATCATACAAGGCATTTCTGAGTATATATGTACTACACCATTCGAGTTGCACCCCACAAACCCCCACAGCTTGTAAGGAATGGCCAGCAAGTGATATGTAAAGTCAACGCCGGATGATGTCTTAGCCGGGGCTATTGCTTCTTTTTGAGTCGATTGGGCACAGTGCGAAATGCTACACAAGATTGTGCAATGATTGGGTGGAGTCGATCGGTAACTATATATGCTTTCTACGCAGCAGGTATCCGCCTGGCTCGAGTCTATCCAAGCATGTGCATTGCGGGTTGTCGTGGAAGCCAGCCAACAGCCCATCCGCCCCCCCACTGTAGGCGGGGCTACGCTGAGGGTATCTCTTGTGCCTTGCCCCACTGCCGACGCCGAGAATGCCGTCCCCACGGAGAGACGGAACCACATACCATACTATCGGCCCGACAACACTGTGCGTCTACGACCACACAGTACTGTACACTACTCTACGGGGTGTAGAACGCTTGCATGTACCAGTCAATCGCCAGACTCCCAGGAATACTGCATGCATATATGGAACAATTCCGATTGAGCCGTTTGCAACAAACTACCTGTTCTACGCATGTTGCACTACTAGTAGTATAAGATCGGACAATCGACGTCCGTACTTCACACCGCCTAGCAGTCCAATTTAACATTCAAGATGGCTGACGTTTGCGACACAAACGTACCATCTAGACGTTGGCTAGCTGAATGCAAGCCCATCAACCCGTGTGGCTGTCCCGTCAAGAGCACACCGACATCAGTTGTACGGGTATGCAATGAGGGGCCGGATGCCCCGCGCTAAGTAACGTTTGATGCAGAATGTGGGGACATTTCTCCCTGCCATTCCAGACAATACCATCACTCCGACCATCACGTGAGGAGCCAGTGCCAAGCCGTCAGCCGTCATATTTATTCTAGCCATCATTGACTGGCATCTTGTGGGACACGCTCTCGAGAAGCCCCAACCTCAGACGACTGGGAAAAGCGTTCATCCGGCAGTTGTGTCGAGGCTAGCTACAACTCCTACTGACAGTGGAGACATCGATTGCGTGGACTTCGGAGCCAGATTTAACTCCTTGAGCCATTTTTCTACCTCGTGTGCCGCGGACTGTATAGTAGTGCTGACCGTTGTGCCCAATACACAATAAGAAGCCTTTCGCCTGTGCTCTGCAGAACCAACACCGCACAGATATGGCGGAGCGACGGAGCTCTTTTGATCAAGCCTCTGCTGGCTTTCGCGCCCATTTGCCAGATCTCTCTAGTCCGCGCTTCACCACAGCTGCCAAACAAGACATATACCAATATGCTCAGTCAATGCAAGATAACCGTGCTCCGCCGTGGCTGTACGACTTGACAAAAGTATGGGAAAAGCTTTTGGAAGAGCCTTACACAGGTGTGACCAACGATGGCAAAGTACGACCAGGTCTTTTTAAGGCCCAAGACGAAGGTGCCAATGTCCAGGGTGCGTTTGAAAAAGCAGAACAACTTTTCAAGGTCCTGGATGGTGAGCAAAAAAAAAAGTTGGTGTATCCGATCAACGCGAGAGAATGGCGGGCATGGAGCAACCCAGAGTTCCTACTGAGACCATTTGGACTAAGGCTCGAGGAAGGTAAGAAGGCCTCTGGGCAAAAGTTTTGATACTGTACTAATGTTACCAGTGCCGGAAAGTACTGCACAGTCAATCCTTGCCGTGGTCGAGGCGTCCTTGTCTCCGGAAGGCTACCAAAAGGCACTATCTGCTATGCGCATCAATCATTTCCTAGGAGAGGTCGTCAAGCTCCCCAACATCATGAATAAGTACTCGTACAACTTTCTCATATTTGGGACGCCCTCTCCATTCGCATCTTTTCCATGGGGCTGGCTCCTTTACGGCCACCACCTCGATATCGCATGCTTCTTCAAGGGGCCTCAGGTCGTCATTACTCCCTCTTTTACCGGCGCAGAACCGAACATCATCGACCAAGGTGAATGGAAAGGAACCCAGATCCTTCACAAGGAAGCCAATCTCGGTTTGAAGCTGATGCAGAGCTTGAGTGCAGAGAAGCAGCAAAAGGCTCAAGTCTTCAAGAAGATGAGGGATGAAGGCATGAAGCAAGTTTACGGCAACTCCAACAACGATGAGAGCAAGCGTGACGAACTCATCACTGACACGTGGGGCCCAGATGACCAGCGTCATCGCTGTGGCGCCTTCCGAGACAACCGCGTTGTCCCTTACGAGGGTATTTTAGTCTCTTCACTCAACCCCACTCAACAAGACCTCGTTTTGGCCATTTGTCACGAGTTCCTCCTTTACCATCCATCCAACGCCCGTGAGCTCAAGCTCAAGCAGATCAAACAGCATCTTGACGAAACGTACTTTTGCTGGATCGGTGGCTTTGGCGATGACGACGCATTTTACTTCCGGATCCAAAGCCCGGTTATCCTGGTGGAATTCGATCATCATTCCGGAGTCTTCTTGACAAACAAGGAGCCGGCCAAGTACCATACGCATACTATTGTGCGGACACCTAACGCGGGAGATTACGGTCAGGCCATTAGGGATAACCATGAAAAACTAGAATAGTTTGTTTATGCTGACATCGGGACCCGAGTCAATCAGAGACAGCGGTGGAAAAAGACAAGATACTTAGTGTTGCATGCCACGTTAGAGTTCGTCAGCTGACATTCTCCAAATTTGTCCGAACGTGATATCTGCATCTTTTGCTCAATTTCTCTGCCCGGATTTTTACATTCTACGAGAACAAACAGCATGTGCAAAAGAGCACGGAAAACACGACAGTTTGGTTCACAAGAATCGTCTGCCACAAGCCATGCACTAAAATATACTCGAGTCTCCGCGGGAGAGTGAGAGGAACAGGCAGGCAAATCCTTCGTCCCTGACATGATGTGGGTCCAACTACAACATCATAACCAATGGCAGGCCTAGCTGTGCCGGGATATCCTCAAGCGGCTTGACTACTTGGCGCAACTAGCCTCGAAAGAAAACGCACCTCTTATCGACTTCTACTTGTGGTAAACCCCCGGGAGGGGATCATAACTCGGTTGTTTGCATCCGCAGCAAGATTGACAGAAACTCATGCAGGGCAGAGGGATAGAACAATGCCATGGCTCGTATACGCTATTTACGAAACGTGCGGGATTCGACGTTGGATGCCTTGGTGGCAATCCAATTTCTCTTTTCACTCGGTGGAGATTGAGAGATAGATGATCCTTTTAAACCTACTTGGCTCCCCGCTCTTGCCATGCTGATACCCCAGCTACACCTTTCAAAGAACCTTTTCGTTCCTTGGATTTTGATATTCACGGTCGTTTCCTCCCATTACACTCGTTCATTCAATATAATATATACTTAGCGTACTTAATTCGTAATCATGTCTTTCAGCATCCGCAACACCATTGCCCTGGGCGCCTTGTCCGCTCTCGCCGCAGCACAAACCACGCCGCCCAAGCTGGACGCAGCCTGTGCCGATGTAGTCATCTTCATGGCTCGCGGCAACGACGCTCCTTACCGTGACGGACGCACCTTTCCGTTTGTCGAGGCAACCTGTGGCAAGTTGATTGCCGAGGGCAAGACGTGCGACCACATTGATATTCAGTTCGATGTTACCCTCGGTGGAGACTACTGCGCTCAGGTGGCAGAGGGAGCCCGCAATGGTATCTCTCAGATTACCGCCTTCAACCAAAAGTGCCCTTGTACACACATAGTGGTTAATGGCTACTCTCAGGGAGCCCATGTTGCTGGTGATGTCTTGGGTGGACCAGGTGGATGCTCCTTTGTGAGCAACGGTCTTGACAGCACCTCTCCTGCTGGCAAAGCCAGTAAGTATATACAGAATTTGACTTTTGCTTTGGTTCAGTGCTGACTTGGACAAGTTGCTGCGGCTCTGCTGTGGGGAGATGTCATGCACACCGCGAACCAACCTTACAATGTGCTTGACGGTGCCAGCAAGCAAAAGAACCCACGCGCGTCTGGAGACCTTGCCCGCTTGAACCGCTATGCGCCTGTCCTCCGCGCCTACTGCGCAGCTGGAGACCCAGTTTGCGCTGGGGGTGAAATCGTAGCCGATCACCTGAACTACTTTGAGCTCTACACTGACGAGGCTTCGTCCTGGGTCGTGTCCAAGATCAATGGCGTTGCACCTCTGCCTTCTTGCGCTGCGTCCAGCTCTTCCAGCTCGTCTTCTGTACCCACTCCTACCGCTAGTGTGTCGGCTTCGTCTGTCGTACAAACTCCCACCGCCAGCGTATCAGCTTCGTCTGTCGTACAAACTCCCACCGCCAGCGTATCAGCTTCTTCTGTCGTACAAACTCCCACCGCCAGTGTGTCGGCTTCGTCTGTCGTACAAACTCCCACCGCCAGCGTATCAGCTTCGTCTGTCGTACAAACTCCTACCGCCAGTGTGTCCGCTTCATCTGTCGTCGCACCCATTGAGTCCTCGAGCGCTGGTGAGCCTTACGTTCCTACCGCTTCCGAGGACGCAGAGACACCATACCCGACTTCTCCAGCAACTGTTTCTCCATTCCCTCCACCAGTTGACTACGATGCGTGTGTCCTCCAGGTTCATGTAGAGTACGTCTACTCCCACATGTAAGCGTGTGAGAGATGGTACATGGGAAAGAGCGGTTGTTAGTCGTGGTTATTGTTTTTTTTTTCACAAAAAGCATGTACCTACACAATACGTCGTTTTAAGTTACGAGAATATAGTTTGGTTCTACCAATATACTATGTGATTTGACCTGGTGGCTGCGCATTAAATGCCGAGTATGATTCCATGATGCCGTGGATTTATGCGGAGATTATCTGAACCAAACCAGAGAATTCAATATCGGTTACTGAGTTTGTTGATAACATACGTACACTATGTGAAAAGCACTGTTGTCCTAGAGTGAAGGTGGGAATGGAGACTGAAGATTCAAGAAGACCCGCCGTAAACTTGGATTTTGCAATGTGAAGACGGCAACAAACCTATCTAGAAGAATTGGGTTTTTCATATACCCAGGGCGAAGAAATCGCCAAAAAATATGTAGATATTACCGACGTGAAGATAAACGTCAAAGCCGTTAAAAGCCGTTGACATTGTGACGCCATGAAGCGATCCCTGCACCCCCGCGGACTTTGGGGATCTCACGTCACCTTTTCGCCCGAGCCCCCCTCCCCCCTCCGGCTCTACTGCGCTCCACGACCCAAAAAGAAGTAACAGTATGCAGCACGCCCGCACCTGGAAGTGACAGAAAACTATATATCGTGACAGGCGTCGCACCCAAACTCGCCCAAAGCCTTGATCCTACCAACAGCCATTCCAACACCATGTATCGAATACGACCGCCCTTGCACATGTTCAGCGCAACACGCCCACCTCTCCCGCTCCCGCTCCCGCGACCAGCCCAACGCCGGCCGTACCAACAACTTCCCTTTGGGCGGGGCCCAGGCGCGCAATACAAGCGCTTCTCTCGCCCCTCTGGCGGGCTCTCGGGGCTCCTGTACCGCTGGGCGGCGCGGCCAAGCTTCTACCGCGACATTGGCCTCATCAGCGCCGGCGCCGGCACCGTGTACGTGTACAACCTGGAAGAAGTGCCCGTGTCGGGCCGGCGCCGCTTCAACATGATACCCGCGCAGCTCGAAGAAGCCATGGGCCGCTCGTCGGTCGACCAGGTGCGCCACCAGTACGCCGGCCGCATCCTGCCCGACCACGATGTCCGCGTGCGCAAGGTCAACAAGGTGCTGCGGCGCTTGCTGCCTTATGCTGAGGCTGAAGGCCTCCACGGCCTCGACTGGCAAGTCACGGTTATCGACAGCCCGGAGCAGAATGCCTTTGTCGCCCCCGGCGGCAAGGTGTTTGTGTTTACGGGTATCCTGCCGTTGTGTCGCGATGAAGATGGGATTGCCGCCGTTTTGGGACATGAGATTGCCCATGTTGTTGCGCATCATACTGCGTATGTTTGGTTCTTTTTTTTTTTCCCTCTATCTCTCTCTCTCTCTCTTCCCCATTCTTCCCTTCATGTATTACTACTAGTTACTCCTTACTATATATTGACTTTTTTTTGGCTGACACATGGGCAAAAAAATGCAAATAGAGAACGCATGTCTCAAGCTCCTCTTGTTCTCCTCGGTGTCCTCGCACTCTCCCTCTTCGACATATCGCTTTACTCGGGTAAACTCCTCATCGACCTCTTTCTCTCCATGCCCGCCTCGCGCAAACACGAGGCTGAAGCCGACTTCATCGGCCTCATGATGATGGCCCAGGGCTGCTACAGACCCCAGGCTGCCATGGACTTTTGGGCCCGCATGGAGAAGATGGGCGGTGGGGAGCCCCCGCAGATATTAAGTACGCATCCGAGCCATCATAATCGCGAGGAGAAGATTCGCGAGTGGTTGCCCAAGGCGTTGGAAAAGGCCGAGGCGAGTGAGTGTTATGGCACGAGTCAGTATGGTATGTGTTTTGATCTCGTTTCACGTCGTTGTCTTGTTATTTTTTTTTCTTTTTTTCTTTTTGATATCGGGGAATATCAGACTAACGACATATTACAGCAAATCAATTCAGCTCTGCATTCAGTGGCCTTGGAAGGTGGTAATATGGCCGTTGCCGTTGCCGTGCCTTGTATTCTATTGAATGACTGTACAAAACATTAACGATTAACTAATGATGATAATGATCTACGGTAGAGGATATATGCCTTGTTGCCCAAATTCGCCGCCCCTGCACCGACAAAGTCAAGCTTCTACCAGGTATCATAAATGTCATAATTTTTTGTACTCTATCCCGGTCGGGTCGCCGGTCTGGACCCGCGTCAGCTTTTGGACGTCAGGCGGCTTTGCTAAATCGACACTCAATCTACTCATGGCTTCCTCCTCCTCTGTCACGGCCGACAAGTCATCGTCGTACCGATGCCTGCCCATGTCCTTGCCCACATCAATCTCCTTGTTTACAATTACGTTTATATTAATGTCGATGCCCTTGCCCATTTCCTTTTCCCGCACCGTCAACCTCTTTTCGTCTTCAAAGTCAAAGCTCTTGCGATTCTTCTCCAAATCCTCGCTTCCGTCTCTGCTCACTAGATCTTGCTCTGCCCAACTCTCGGGGTACCCAGGTAGGGTGGGCATCTCCGAGGGTGTAGCGGGCCGACTGGCCGACTGGAAAACATGCCTGAACAGGGGATAGAGACAGGGAAGAGAGGCTGCGAGGATGCTGACGTCGACTTCGATTTGCGACCAGACTGGAACCCAGGCCCAGCCCCTGAAACCATGTTAGTAACAGTAAATAACGCACACAACATGCAGGACCTACCAGCTGTAATCATTGTCCTGCCAGCCCTTTCCCGGTTTGATCGGCCTGCCAGCCATGATAATTTCACACAGCCGCATAGTGCTGGCTATAACCGGTATCAATCCGACAGAGAGGACGACTACCAGAGCCGCTACACCGGTTGTTAGCTATGGTTGAATACATGCCCAGCAATGGTGAACGTACTGCGTTGTCTGCGATTGAACTTGAAGAGCCGTAGCAAGGGCAGGGGGAACATGAGAAGGACAATGTCTGTAGTGACGTTGATGGCGGCAGAGATAATCATGAACTCAGCCATGTCGATGCATCCTCCGTCATTGGCGTGCACAATGTCCCAAATGCGAGATATGGGTACACATAGAAAGAGTTGGGCCTGAGCAACGCAAGTGTTAGTATGGAGTAGCAACACACTGTGCACTGGGTGAGGCAAGCAACAAGAAAACCGTACCGTGAATGAGGAGATGCCAAATGCAGTCATGAAGCCTGCTACTGTCCATACAGCAGGAGCCTGGACAATCCACGGTAAACCTTTTCTCCCATAGCCTATCCTATAGTATAGGGCAAGTATGCTCATCTTGACCGTCCTGAATTTTAAGTTAGGGGGTTATAGGCTGTATGGCAGACAGGAGATACATACCAGTTTGCGACAAAGTATATGAGCATGTTGATCCACTGGTACTAGTAGGCAGTCAGCAAGTGTGCGTGGAGGGGAGGGGGGAGGGGGGGGGGAGCAAGAGCCATGCGAAGCATACCATGAGCATGTGGTTGAATTGCTCGATGCGCAACTCGGTGGTATGGCGACCCTGGCCATGCTCGACTTGCAGTATGATGGTGACGGTCTGGGCAGCCCCAAGGACCGTGGCAATGGCAATGAAGACGTCGTCGAGGCCGAATCTCTTGACAATGCATGCACGTGTAAAGCAGCTAGACAGGGTTAGTATACAAGTCATGCAGGGTGGGTGGTGTAAGTACGCACCGGAGAGCGACAAACGTCACGGCAACGGTGTACATGGCGAGGCTGACTCTGGCCAGCAGCGGGCCTTGGTCATGGCCGTTGGCAAAGACAATGTGGCCCATTGCGTGTAGGGTAGGATGGTGGGAGACGCAAGGCGAGGAGTTGGGACATGGGGTTGTGATGGCGAGCAAGGGACCAGGACAGGAGAAGAAGGGAAAAAGGCAAGAGGCGATGGGGCAGGCGTGCGATGGCGCCGATGGGGCCTATTTCAGATCTAACACAGATGTGAAGTCAGCAGGAAGGATGGCGACACTGGCAATGCACCATGTCGATCAGCGCGTTGCAAACGTTTCCGCCGCATGATTGACGCGGCGTTATTTGAAACGCCAGGACGAACTTCCAGAAGCAAGCGAAGCGGTGCTATGAAGACGCGAAGGAGCGGCGCGGCCCGTGCGCCAGCCTCGGAATTTGAACGTGGTGAGTGACACTGGTGTGACGAGGCCTGTCGCAACGCCTCTCTTGAAACCATGTTTGGGCCAGCGGCTCCCAATGGCATCGCAGCCAGGTACGTGGGAAGAGCCCATGGCCTCAGGTGGCTGCGGCGGCAGAGCGTCTTGAGTGGCTCGCCTGTTTCCTGCCCGCGGGCGGTGCCAGGTAGTATAGCAGGACAGGCCTTGGGACCGAGGGTTGGGCCGACGAATACGACGGACCATCCCGGCCCTATTTATTATTCACGTCGAGTGCATCAAGAGCCTCTCGCACGTCTCAACAAGGGCGGAGAAACAACGGAAATTTTGGCTCCCAGGTTCCAGGTCGCAGGTGGGCCGCCCGCCTGGCAGCCGTTTGCGGATAGCCAGTCGGTTGGCTGACATAACCCACTGGCTGGGCCGTCGTGTCGAGCCTGCAGCAGTAAGTAGAGGGCACACTACTCGTGGCGGCCATTGCAGCGGACGAGGGCAGACAGGGTGCAGCATGGACGTCTGGCAACATGGGCCGTGGCAATGGTTTGTGCTAGTTGTGAAGGCGCTGTGGGTGTTCGGCCTGGGCCGGCGGTGCAGCAGCCGTGCGCAGGCACTCAGGGCGACTGGTAGGCTGTGGCATGCCTGGGCGATGGAGGCTGTTTTAAGCACTCGAGCTTCCCATCAATCGAGGGGCAGCACGGGGTGGACGCGAGAAGGGCAGAACAAGGCGGGCATGCCTGGATGGGCGAGGGAGCGAGGGAGCGAGGGAGCGAGGGCGAGGGGCTTGGGAGCGGCTGATCGGTGCGGGGGAAGCCTGATCAGGCTACGGGTGGCTGGCCTAGTGCTGGCAGCCCACACGTTGTCCTCACGTCACGCTGGAAGCACCAAGAAACCCAGCTGCGTCTTGGTCGGGCGGAGCGAAGGGGCAGACGAGCGAGGGGCGGGCATTCACTGCACTCGCACCACGGCCACCACCACCACCACCACCACCACCACTACCGACTGTACTACTGCACTCGCACCACTACCACTCGCACCATCACCACCACCATCACCACCACCACCACCAACCCCCCTGGGCCCAGACGCCGCCGCCGGCTCCCAGGCCCCGCCAGCACTCGCCTATCTCAAGCCCCGCCGTGCCCGTGTGAAGCCGCGCCTCGCGCCCCTCGACTGGCTCCGTGGTCCTGTTGCTCGCATCGGCACAGGCAGAGGGAGCAGCCAAGTCGTACTGCGCAAGTAAGTCGTAGGCGCGCCTCCCCCTCGCCCAATCCCCCTCATGCCACTGCCACGGCCAACACCCCTGCCCTACGTACTGCAACCTGCAGTAAGCCCCTCTTGCGCCACTGCATGAGTGTGAGCACGCTCAATTCCTCGCCTGTGACCGCTAACTGTCTTGTTCTCCCAACAGTCTCCAACTACCCCCACCAGAGGCCGCGCCTGGTCCGCCTGGTCCGCCTGGTCCGCCACACGACCGCTCCTCCCTACATTCCCTCCCTCGAACATCTCCTCTCCCCGAGGTCGCCATGGCCACCCACGCGACCATCACCTTCTCCCAGCCGGGCGTCCGTCCCCCCGTCTATGTCACCTCTTCCCTCAGCGGCTGGACCCCGCTTGAGATGGACGTGGCCGACAACACGACCGCCTCGGGTGATCCCGTCTTCACAAAGACATTTTCCAATGTCGACCAGGGGAGCTACCAGTACAAGGTCCGTCTTGGTCAAGACCACTGGATCCTGGACGAGTCAAAGCAAACGGGTATGGCGGAAAGCGAGCTCCCCCGGCTGCCCCGCTGACACACAGCAGCTACCGACGACCAAGGCATTCGCAACAACGTTATCCACGTCGAGCCTGCTGCTCCTGAGCCTTCCCAAAGCTCAGCGCCAGACAGTACGCCTACGCAAGCAACCACGTCAAGCGATGCGCCTGCACCGCCCTCTCATGAGCCTGCCTTGAAGCGGCTCGACAGCCGCAAAGACAGCACCATGGACCAGGACCAACTGCCCATCCCCCCGCCTGACCTGGAGCGTGATGCTAAACAAACAGCCAAGGTGGATTCGTCGACCGAGCCTGGCGTGCTGGAACCGCCTCATGCGCCCATCGTAGTCGTCGATAAGGTGGACGCCCAGCCCACGTCTGCCGAGGACGCTACTGAAGACGCTACCGCTGCCCAACAGACTGCGCATGACACGAAAGCTACCGATGCATTGCCTGACAAAGTCGAAGCTGTACCTCAACACCACGTTGGGCCTGGCACAGGCGATGAGCAAGCAGCGCCATTGTTGCACCATGAATCTTCCCAGGCCGACCCGTCGCCCTTGCCACCCTCCATGGACACGATTGACGAAGAGTCTACGCCTTCGTCAGCAGATCACACTAGTTCTGGAGATGCCATGGACACGCCGTCCGAATTGGATGAGGGCGACGAGTTGAACTTGGTACCCTTGCTTAGCCACGAGACTAGTGTAGGCCAGGAGAGCAACGGGCTTGCAAATGTACCGCTGTTTGGCCATGAATCAGAGACTGGAAATCATCATGCTAATCAAGTCCCGCCCTTGCCCCACGAGTCCAACCTACCAGACGACGCCGCTGTTACGACCGACTCTGATGGAGGAGATGAGCTAGACCGATTTCCATTACTGGAGCATGAAGGCAAATCCTCTGCGTACAAGGGAGACGAGATTGTAGCCAAGAACCATCATCTCGGAGGACAAGGATCACGTCTTGACAGGCCTCACAGTAATCACGGCGAATCTGGCAACTACCCTGAGGGAGATGATGGCGACGCGCCTCTCCTGCCCCACGAGCGGGAAGCGGAAACCGCTGATCATGCTGGCTCAGTCTCTTCACAAGACTATGCACCATTCCCGACGG